AACAACAAAAACAAAATTGCAATAAAGCCCAGCCAAACGAATGCCATAGAAAGACTTGCTTGGTTTTATTTCTGGTTTGTTGTTGATTTTATTTGGTTTTTGTGTTATAAAATAGCTTGGCTTTTAAATCCACAATCCACGAAATGATTCTCCCCGAAAAGCAGGGAAGTGAAATGAAAAGCGGCCGAATGATTTGTTTTCCGTTCGTTTTTGGCCCAAAAGTTCGTTTACATCGCATGCAAATGAAGCATGGAAGCTGAGACCATTTCGTTCACGTGAATAATTTGCATATTTGTGTAGGCATTTTATAGTGTATTATTAATAATAATATTATGTATATATTACGTAGCCCCGTCCAGTGGGTCTTTGGAGCGTGAGAAATGTATCACACCGATGTGGTTCAATAATTGCATTTCATTGACTTAAAAGAAAACCCAATAAGCCCTTGAACTTAGACTGGCAAAAGGTACCTATATGCATATGCATTTCCTTGTTCTGGCGGAATTCCAAGTGAGGCAAAGTCGCTTTTAATGAAGCCTGGGAACAATTTAATCAAACACCGCCTGCAGATAGTAGCTCATATCATATCATATATCTTTATATTGTCTGTGTCTGGGAATACAGCGAGTAGAGAAACCAGAACAGACTATATAGAGAGACGTTTTTTTAAGCTCACTAAATAGAAATTAGCGACTGGGCATCCCATCATCTAGTGCACGTTTTGCAAATTAAACAAATGAAGAGCACAATGACTGGGCATCGGGCCACTTGGGCATTCTTGGGTTAAATGCCCAACTAAATACTGTGTGGCTACACTTATCCATCCATCCAAACCATAGAAATCTGACCGAATCTCGGCAAGAGATTTATACCTTCGTCGCCTGTTTGTTATCATCCATCATCAATCAATTTCAGGCAATCTTATCACTTCACTGTGCAGGATTTCAACAGAAAATAATTAGCAAAACTGATTTACTATCGGTTCCCATAGAGTGTCCACCATGGTCAGCTTGATTAAACTATAGTATATTGTTTGTGGCTTATTTATTTTGGCCAATCGTACTTCAGCCTTTGAAGCATGATCGAGAGATTGGTAGATCAAAGATCTCTAGTATCTTCATATGTATGTACATACCTCATATAAGATCTTAGATAATTTTATTTACCTATAAACATTTACAAAAGGGGCGCCTCATCGTAAACTGACTCGTGTGTCTGGGGATTACTATCTAGATTTAGATCTAGATACTACGAGAGTCTTTTATGAACCTTGTAAATTATGCCATCATTAAAACACAAGTACAATCCTAAAGCATAAAACAACTAGACTTGTTATGTTTATTTAATGTAATAAAGAGATTAACTATAATTATGTTTCTTTAAATGAGGTTTATATTTAAAGATTTTAGGTATCTAGAAATTCAGTTTGAACTAGTTTGATCCAAGTCGGCATAGATTCTATATCTCTTAATTTTATCTTGTCTATGATCTTTTCTTGTATTATTAGAACCAGATAATAATGGGTGATTCAAACTCATTTGCATTTAAAACGTAACTAGTTTTTACTGGAATATTGGAGATTTCTGTATGCTTAGATATGGATATATGTGATCATTACTAAAATTATATAATATTAAGTGTTCTAGTTTTTAAATTTAATTGAATTTGAAAACTTACCGGTGTTAAATGCAGAGTTTAATTTATTTGACCTATACATTTTCTAAAAGAGATTCATAATCATAAGAATTTCCTGATCATTTTTGGGACCTATAAAGCCTGAACTAGTTCAGTTCAGTTTGTAGTCACAGCACTCAACTGGTTCCGAATAAAACCTGATATTGTCATTTCGTAAATTTCCATAAACAACTGGAATTTCGCAGACAAATCGTCTGCCCAGTGACACAAACAAAAATACAACGAATATTAAAGAAACGAAAACAAAAACAAAAACAGAAAGCGAAACAAAAACTAAAAAGAACAATTTAAATCGGCGAAAAGTGTGAAAGGAATGAAAGGAAAATGCAACTTTTGGCATTTCCAGTGATGAAGTTGAGAGAGAAAATTGGCTATAAAGAAATTAACCAGGCTAAAAAGGCACTTGACTTTTGCCATTTAGCGGCATAAAATCATCACTAATTAATTCGCATGGCTGGCAATTATTTCAATTCCTCTATCGGAAGATTCAGTTCCGGTTTGGAAATAAAGAAAAATATACAAAATGAAATTCAATTTAGCCACAAGTGCACCTTCCACATTTCCCTTTACTGTATTTTCTTTTTTTTGTTTTTATTTTTTTGTTGCTTTAGCCCCACGTGTTTGGTTTTGACTTTGAACTTCAAAATCGCAAAAAGGCTGTGCGACAAACACACAAAGAAAATAAATGAGTTGAGGTTGCTTTGGGCAAACATTGCGTATACGTAATGCGAGTGTTTGTAGGAGAGTCTCTTATGGTTATTTTGTAATTAAGGAAACTATAATTTCGATCCAAGATCAAGAGTTACATTTTATGTCACTTTATATTCTTTGATCTGAAGTGCTTAAAAAAGCATACATGGATTTGTGATAATATAGAATTCGCACTTAAATCAGTGACAATGAAAATTTTTGTAACTGCTTTTAGAATGACATTTCTGGTAATTATGGATTCAAACAAATACTTATTAATCCCTTTGTTATCCGGTGTATATCCCTTAATCTTCAGATTTTATTCTACAATCTAAAGCATATATCTTTCCCTGTCAGAGTATGCACAGAAATGAATCAGAAGGATTTAATGATCAGCACAAAGAGTGTCTCAATTTGTGTACAAGAAGGTGACAACACAAATTGACAATTTAAATATTTAATGGAACATTTATACACAGCTTTTGTATGATTTTCCATTATCTTCAATGTGTTTGTTGACAAGAGTCTTTCCTTTACGTCAGTGGGGAAATCTTTTCTTTCTTTGATGATGTCTTAAGTTGATATTTGGTTAACAAGTCTTGACTTTCTCGCTGTTTTCCAACGACCTTAATCAGCTTTAATCGGGATCAACAAAATCGCGATAAGATTTGGGAATTGAAAAACTATAATAAACAAACTGCTTACTGTTATTTATTCCTGTAGGTTTTTTCTTTCTTTTAATCAGAAATGAGTTAGTCATCGGTGAGTTTAGTGGAAGCTAAAAACATTTATGAGCCGTGATAGCTTTCATTTCGAAATTTGTTGTAAGGAAAAACCAGGGATTTTTTTTTTTTTCAATGGAAGAGTATGCGATAGAGTTACTAACCAATCTTAGATTAGTTATTATCTACAAAAGGGTGAGATAGCTCTTGGAGTATGTTTTTCCCATGTATTATAATGGGGTGTGATATATTAGTAATAATACTATATGTACTACAAGCATCAAGGATAAGGATAACATATTGATATATCAATCAATATTTAAATAATTATATTTAGACTTAGTAGACTAAGAAGTACGATCACTTTTATCCCAATTTACCTCCTGTGATCTGTTTGGTTTATAACACCCCTTGACCTTCACCCTGTGCCTGTTTATTGTGGCATTTTTTTTCAAGTGCGTACTGATTGTAGATAGCCATTTGCAGGTGTATATTTACAGTACTCTCTCGTATTATTGACTTTAAATACGTATACGACGCGTGGGCTTGATATTGATTGGTCTCCACAAGGCTTTCACTACAAACACATATATTTGGCGATAAGGAGTCGCGGAATAACCCTTTGGCAGTCTCAAGTGACTTATGATTGACTAGAATCCGACCCTCAATCAACGCTGTCAACTGTATTCGCACTTCCAGTTGTCAAAGCCAAGTGGCAGCAATTTATTATGTCCAACTGTGTTGTTGTCAACTCGAATCGCAAATAGGCGAAATTAAAATCTTATCGCCAAAAACAGCGCACAAGTCTGATCGTAGGAAATAACAAATAACTGAAGTAGAGGAAGTCCACAAAGATCCTGGGGCAATATTAGTTTTCTTTTAATCTTTGAATAGATTATGTTTTTTGATTGTAAATATCTTTATTCCTACTTGGCTGCCAACTCATTTCATTTGGCCAAACATAAAAACAGGTCTGAAAACAGAAAATACAAGAGAAAAAGACAGAATAGCAAACAATTTTGGCCATCACGGTTTGTTGGCTTTATTGGTCAGGGTTTCTTGGTTCCTCAGACACGCGGAAGTTCCACAATATAAATTGTTGGGTCAGGTCAGGCTTCTATATCAAACTTGTCTCAAATAGAGACAAATGTGTTTATTAATACATCATTTTTTGTTACAAGAAAACCCCTAGAGATCTTTGAATTAGGAAACCCCCTCCAAAATAAAAAGAAGTGTTGCCGCTTCGTAGATCTTGTGACCTGAAACCTTTAAAAACTTTTGTTGATTTTGTTGATTTCCATTGATACCACCTTCTTCCAGACCGATTATGTTTAATCCAAAAAAATGAAACTATTTAATTAAATTGCAAAAAACACAATGTTGTTGTTGCCTTGCAGCCATATCAACGGTCCGGTGACTAAGCTCAACCTCAACCTCAACCTCAGCCCTCTACCTACTACCTCTCACCACTCACTCCCAAAAAAAAGGCACCCACACTTCTTGACCCCATCCCTGTCCAGAAACCAGAGACCAAGGACGTCACACCACGCACAACCAGGACGATATACACCACACACACACGGCGCCAGAACATTCCCCACATTTTCACAACAATGTAAACCAAACGATTCTCCGGATTCAATTTCAATTCTTGTTCCGATTTACATTCTTCATATACATTCCTTGAAAGAAAAGAACCAAGAAAACAAAATACTAAAAGCCAACCAATGCACTTTCCATAATTCTTAACTTATTTAATTATTTAATTTAAAAACAACATAATTGTGTGATATTTATTATTGTGTTTTTTTTTTTGTGTTTAGTCATAGTTTGAAAAGAAGAAAACGAAACTAAAAAAAGCAAAAAACCAAAACAAAAAGTATGCAAAGTCCATAGACAACTATTATTAATATAAAAAAAAAAAACAAAACAAAACCAAAATAGTATACAAATTAGTACACAGTTTATGATTTGTGTTAATTGTGTTTCGAGTTCATTTTTTCATTGTTTTAAATTGTAAAAAATTTCAAGGCTCAGACACAGACACACACCCACTGTTGAGGGCCAGCAAAGGATTAGTTTCAATTAATTTTTAGTCGATGAGTTTTAGTTGCAAAGGCCAGGGCCCCACACACACGAGGCAACACATGCACGCCTATTTTTGGGGCTGCTCTGCACCACCCAAGGACCTAGACGCACGACACGACACGACACGCCCAAACCAATGCTAAAATGTCGCAGCCCAACGAACAGACAAACTTGCCGCACAATCCCAACCAGCCAGCATCCACAGACACACCATCCCCACCCACACCCACACCAACACCAACACAATCTCCTCCCACTCCAACACCTTCCACAACAACTACAACAACAACCACAACAACAACACCAAATGAGCTGAAACAACGCCTGACGCCATTGAATGTGCGTCGTTTATCGGGCTACGTAAATCCGCAAATGATCAGCGATCATGCTGATGATGATCCCCCGCCCACAACAATTAATATTGGCCTCTTTAACCACAACAACAACAACAACAACAACAATAATAATAATAATAACAACAACAATAATACAAATAATAATAATAACACCGCATCAACAACGCCACCATCTGCATATGCCACACCACCAATATACCAACAACAGTTGTCCACACTGACAGCAACAACACCGCTAGATGTGGCACCGGATGATAAATACAGATTGTTTACCATTTTCAATGGAAACGGTGAGTCCAAGAATTCCCATCAGCGGGTAAAGGATGTTGTTCCTTTTCATACAACGAGCAGCAAACGACAGAACTACCCGTGTAGATAGGGATTATTCCGAGTATTTTATTTGAGGATTTGGTCACATTAAAACACGAACCAAAAACACCATTTACCGCTCTGTGCTCTCTCTCTCTCTCTCTCTATCTTTTTATCTTTCTTAATCTTTTGTCTTTTATCTTGATATGCATATATAAATTATATATTTAGGTATACATATATATTGATTTGAGAGCTTAGGCTCTTTTTTCCCTTTTTATTTTGTAACTTGCTCGCTTTCTTACCCATAGATACATATTGTTTATAGCAATTCAACGGGGATGGTGAGTGCCAGAATTCAAATGAAAAAAAAAGAATGAGCAGCAATCAGAGAAGATACTCTCGTGTACATAGGTCTTTTTCGGTGACTTTTATACAGTTTTGGTCACACTGAAACACATTTAAGTGAGATGTTGATCCATTTCGTTTGCTCTCTATGTCCTTCCTTTTATTCTCTCTCTCTTTCTGAGTATCTTGATTTATTTTTTTAACTTTATTTAATTTTGTACCCATCCATATATGCATATTCGTTATATACCTTTTTATATTACATTAATCCCATGCTATATTCACCCTGGCTTGTATTTGTCTGAACGATTTGCGACTTAAACGTATACAAAATCTTAACTAATTATTATCTTGCATGCTCCTTTAACTAACCAAGTCTCGGTTTAAGGCTTCTGCTTCTCTTTATAATTAATAATTAATAATTGGAGTGCTCTTCTAAGAGGAAGAGCACTGTTATAAGCATATTTTTAACTTTTTAAATTAAACAAAAACTACCTATTTATAAAAACCCTTTGAAAACAAAGAACAAACTAAGATATAGTTTAAATCAATACATAGATGTAATCCGAATCTAGATTCTCTACAGATTGAATTATTTAAAAAAATAATTTACAAAAATTACAAGTCATTTTCAAAAACCTTATAAACCGCTGAAAGAGTAACCAAATGTTCTTATTCTCACAACCTTTGATTATTTCTTAATTGTTATTTTTGCAATGTTTAATTGTTGCTGTCGATGTCTCGACGTTTGGCGAATTTGTTTATGGACGAACGATTCGTGGTTTATTAACTTGGTCGACACAGAAACCGAAAAGGCAAACAAAATATACGAGAATTCTATTGAAACGAGTTTTTGTTCGTTTTTTGTTTTAACCCGAAGACGACTTTGCCTGGAGACTGTAAAAAATTAACAAAAAACACTACGTAAAAACAGTGCGAATTGAAATAAATGAAATACAAAAAAATTAAAGACATATATACACGTTTTTATACATATGTATGTATGGTTAATTTGTAGTGATGTTAATTAATGGCTCTGCTAATTGCATAATGCTGCTAAATTTAGATGCATGCCACACACACACGCACACACTCCAGCACTTGGAGACTATTTAGTATATAAGAGAGAGAGATCCGAGCACCTAATCCAATCTGGAGGATCCCCCCACGACTCTTAATCTTGTGCCCGATCCCCAAAAAAGCCAAACTAACCCGCATCTTGCAACCCCTTTTCTCGTTTCGTTTCTTCCAATTTGTACCCACAAATCCCATCGCAAAATCCCAGATCCCGACAATGAGAAATTGTCGGGCCTACCACATTCGACAACTGGTTCACTAAGCTCAATCATCACGACGTCCATAGCATCCTCCGAACCGGATCCTGGAGCGGCGAGTGGCGGCGGCGGCAGTGGAGGAGGAGGCGGAGGCGGTGGAGGAGGTCCTGGCACCGGATCGGGTGCCCTTGTGGCAGCAGATGCCTCCAGTATCGCCGGTATCAATGGCAGTTCCGAGGAGAAGCTGGCCCTCAATAGGCCAGGAATCAAGCAGGAAAAGTGGACAACGATACTGCTGCAGGTTTCCATACCATTCTTCCTGGCCGGCATTGGAACAATCGGAGCTGGCATTGTGCTGGGACGCGTTGAGGTGAGTTTTCAAATTGAACAATAATATAGAATTTATAGAATTTTATAACAATGGTTAGAAGATATAATACTGGGAAGACCCTCAAGGAACCCCCAATAAATAACAATCTTTTAAGTTTATCAATTACATTTTTATACAATTGAATAAAAAAGGTAAAAAGATATAATACTGGGAAGACCCTTAAGGAATCCCAATAAATAACAATCTCTTAAATTTAATAATAACATTTTTAAACAATTTAATAAGAAAAGTATACAGAAAAATAATACTGAGAAGAACCCTAAGAAACCCCCAATAAATAACAATCTCTTAAGTTTAACAATTACATTTTTATACAATTTAATAACAAAGGTAAAAAGATATAATACTTAGAAGAACCTTAGGGAATCCCTATAAATAACAATCTCTTAAGTTTTATAATAACATTTTTAACTTATTTAACAAGAATAGTATAAAGAAAATAATACTGAGAAGAACCTTAAGGAACCCCCAATAAATAACAATCTCTTAATCTCTAATAATAACATTTTTAAACTATTTTATAAGAAAAGTATAAGGACCTTTAGGAACCTCTAAGAATGAAAATCTTCATCAAGACAGAAACAATGTACATTCTAATATTTAAAGTATGGTTTAGTCTCGATTTATGTTAATTAAATCAGTTGAGTTGACAACTAGGATTGTAGATCTTAAAAGAAAATAATTCTGTAATCAATTAGGTAATTTTAAATGATGAATTTTACTCTCCACCAATTGGGGTTATTTCATAAAGTGATTTGTAATGTTTTCCCTGTGCTGTAATTTTCCTCGCTCATCTGCATACTTTGTAAGGTGTCTTTGCAATGAGCTTAACAAATAACGAAACAACAAATTCAGCGTAAATTGCATCAAATTAAGTTGTTAAGTTTTATAATTGCAAGTGCCCTTAGTGTGGGATTGTCTATTTAAAAAGATTGGCACCAAGTCAAAGGCAAATCGTACAAATCACAGTAAATGTTTTATAATTAATCTTAGTTTTTTATGGGAAATTTTACAAGTAAGAAGAGGTATCCCTATAAGTAATAAAGAAGTTAAAGTAATCTTAACCTTAATTAGCTAAGTAAGAGTGCTTAAATTTTTGTTTCTTCTTAAGCAGACTCTTATGGTACAAACCAAAAGGTGTTTATTGTCAATTTTCTTATATTTTGTAAATATTATTATTTATATTTTGTTATTTAAAATGAAAGATTTAAGAGCAGATCATAGAAAACTCAATTCAGAATTGCCCAAGTAACTTATTTACTAAACTTTAGAAAAAGTTTATCTAGTGTTTAACTTTTCCGCTCAGAAAGCTATAAAAGAATATGAAATATATAGTATTATTACTGAATACTTTTGCACTAAGCTTGCCAGCCAATGAACTGATAATTAAGATATATTCTACAGGTAATTTTGGGAACTATGATATATGTACATAATTGCAGAACATATGCTGATATGTCTTATCAGATTGTTATCAATGATTGCTGAATATATTAGCATATGTTTTGCATTGATTAATAGCTCTCTCTTACCACGTTTAGTTTAATAAATTAGTGCAATTAAGCAGATAACGAATCTTTACAATCCAACGCTTATGCTTATAAATATTCTAGTGCGAACCCAAAATGATTTATTCAGAAATGATTCTGTATTTATAATACGATAAGAGTCAGAGGCATTTCGCCTTTCTATAATGGTTTCAATTGAGATTCCAGCAAATATTCGAATCGTGTGAATAAAACATTAGGTGGACTCGAAGAGCACTCAAACATTCACTTAAAGTCAGACGGAGCCAGAGACTTGGCTATTTTTAAACTTTTACACTTCTACCCCTTCACTGTGGGTTTACTCGGTGAATTGGCACAATTCCTTTCAGAATGTTATTTATGGCCGTGAAGTGATAATGCCAGATAGTAATGTCTAATTTTCCCGCTAATTGATGGTAAAAGTTCTGGGCCAAACTGGAGATGAAGCCAGTTAAAGGCGGCCAGTGACCGCAGTTAACCGATATTATTTTGGCAATCTTTAAACCAACTCAGCTGTGGGTGTGGTTGTTTTTAAGGAAATCTCAATAAAAGGCAATTGCACTTGATGAATTTAAGGCATTTCAAAGGTTGTAAATATTCGGTTTGTTGTACTCCAAAATTAATCAAGTAAAGAATTAACAAAGCCTCAAAAAAAAAGAGAAACCCGAAGCTATCTGAAGGGTTTAAGATGTTTTTATTGATCATCTCAGACATTGATTAAGAGCAATGTTTTTGTCAGCACTTATTATATTATTAGCATTAACATTAATAATTAAATTAAATATTTCTTATTTCCTTTTTTCTTAGAAATGGTATGTCTTTAAGAATGTCAGCGAATTGTTCATCCTGGTGCCGGCACTTTTGGGACTGAAGGGTAACCTGGACATGTGCCTGGCTTCCCGGCTTTCCACGCAAGTGAATTTGGGCAACATGACCAGTAGACAGGGCGTAGTCCGGATGATTGTGGGCAACATAGCACTGGTCCAGGTCCAGGCGACGGTGGCCTCCTTCCTGGTGGCCATGTTCGCGGTGAGCGTGGGTGCGGCCATGACTGGAGAGTTCTACTTTGAGAACATGATGCTCCTGACAGCCTCGGCCATGTTCACGGCGACATCGTCATGCTTTGTTCTGGGTAAGATTCCATTACATTCCTTTTGCAATTTCCATTGATTACATAATATAATATGTGTTCATTTGCAGACTTTGTTTTGGTGGCCGTGATCCTGTTCTCGCAAAAGTATCGCCTTAATCCCGATAACCTGGCCACACCGCTGGCCGCCTCCATTGGCGATGTGGTGTCCATCAGTCTGCTCTCCTTCATTGCTTCGTTGCTGTATGAGCATATCAGTAAGTTGTATGAAAGAAACACCTAAAAAGAATCTTACTTATGAATGTTTTCTCATAGAAACGCACCTGTGGATCACCTTCATTGTGGTGTGCTGCTACCTGGTCCTCCTGCCCATGTGGGTAATGATTGTGCTAAGGAACGAGTACACGCGTCCGGTGCTAAAGAGTGGATGGGTGCCAGTGCTCTCGGCCCTCTGCATAAGTGGGTAAGTACTGCGCACTACGCAATCCCAATCCCAATCCCAATCCCAATCCCAATCCATGCGATCAGGTCGGATGATGGAGTCTCGAGAATCGGGGCAATGATGAGGCAGAAATCAATCAGTCAATTGATTGCTATATTTAGATATCTGACCATTTTTATTAGTGCCAAATCATGTCCAACCGCTATTTATACAAAATGAACATGTGTATCTGGTGGTATAAGTAGCCTGGGAAAAAATTCGCACAAATTGTCCCTGACTCGTGTCGGTCAAGCGTGTTGTATAATTAGAATTTTAAGTAGGACTAGAACTCTGTGGCGCAATTATTTGCCATGACTTGGGGATTTGCTCTCAAAAAGACAAAAGATAAGAGCTCACTTCAATCAAATCAAAGCAAGCAAAGCGGTGATTTAAAGGTTTAAATCTGTTTAAGAAGTTTGGAAACTGGCAATAAATATTAGTATTATTTGAGTAAGCAATCTCAAAACATGATTAAATCTGTGGAAGTGCATATGGTTTCTTTTTAACTTAATTAAGTCCTTGAAAATCTAAATCAATGATAGTTTATTTGAATCTAATCTTTCTTAAATCCTGATTATCAAAATGTTCTTATTATCAACATCTTTAATCAACGTTTTATGTCCTATTTCCTTGCAGGCTGGGTGGTCTGGTTCTGGACGCCGCCGTTGAGGTATTTAAGGGCTTTGTGGTATTCCAACCCATCATCAATGGAATTGGCGGAAATCTGGTGTCGGTGCAGGCCAGCAAGATATCGACGATGCTGCACCAGAGCTCAATTATTGGCATTATACCACCGCACACAAAGATTTGGGAGTGGCCCTGGAGGGCGCTCTTCAAAGGCGGTAAGGCACACCTTAAATCAATCGATCTAGAAACCAGACTTATAAGTTGTTTATCTTATATTCCATAGTTCCCTATGCAAAGACGGCGAGAATACTTATCGCCATGTCAATTCCGGGCAATATATTGTTCATCTTTGCCGCTGATTATATCAACATGAGCACCTCGACGGTCAGCTGGGTCTTTGTGTTGTCCTATCTGACCGCCAGCTTGGTCCAGGTGAGTCTAGAATATTATAGCGCGTCATTAAGTTGTAGCTTTATTAATCATCATTAAGATAAAGCTTTGTTATTTGCCAATTCCGCTGTAGGTTCTCAGGTCTTAATGACACTTGTCTCCCATCGAGCGCTGCTCATGCTTGTGATATAACTTCTCAAAACTCTCGCATTTAATTAAGGATAATTAGGAGAATTGAAGTGCATAAGCATCTTCTAATGGTTTACACATCATTTCAGGTAATGCTGCTGCTGTACATTGCCCACATTATTGTACACGCGATGTGGAAGTGGAAGATCGATCCGGACAACTCGGCCATTCCCTATCTGACGGCCTTGGGTGACCTGCTGGGCAGCAGTTTATTGGCGGTGGCGTGGCTCTTTACCATGTCCGTGGGCATGGAGTACGGCGCCGGTATGGAGACCCTCAATGCACCCAACTAAAAGTCCTGGCTAGCGAAAAACACTCAGAAATAGTTGATGGGCATACGTAACACCCGTAAAACGATAAACTAATAAGGCAGCCACAAACCACAAACACAATATAAAGAACTGTTATGTACCTTAAAGAAATATATAGAAACATAGAAACAGAACGTATATAGTCTCCTAGGTTCCCAGTTTCCTGTCCCACACACACAAACGAACCGGAACCGGAAACCAACTAATTTCTAATGAAGCATGTTCTAAAGGCAAACGATATTGATTGAGAGATGAGATCCTTTTACATTGTGTCCTTCTTCACATGGCGTTTGCTTGTGTTCCTTTTGCTCTACCGATAACGTATGTATGATATATATAATATATATAAATATATATGTATATCATACAAATGTCGATTTGCAGGCTTGCTGCGTCATATTTTTTAAGGCTTTTAGGACAATATTATACACATTTGAAACAAATATATATATATATGTATACAATATATATGTACTTGTATAGGGAGAAGTGAAGACGAAGAAAACCTATTATAAAATGTAGGCGCCCCCTCTCGGTTCTTGCTTGATATTCTTTCGCTTTATTTAATCCATAAGCAGCCAAAAATACTAATTAACATAAATAGAACCTACTTAATTCCTTAATTTACACTTTACACAAACCAATTATGTAGTATTAGCGAAGATTTGATTTTTGCAAGTCTCGCTTCCATTTCGTGAATGTATTTTTATAAATATTATTATTATTTGTTTGGTGTCTCGTTGTCCTTTTCCATTACCATTTCCATTTCCCCGAATCCCACTTGGCCTCCTCGCGAATGTAAAGAGAAGCAATAATTACATGCAAATAAAAAATAAAAAGGAACTCTATTTATTATTGCAATCACTTGATGATAATTATGGGAAATGATTAAATGTGTATTCCTCTTTTATTTGTATGTTGTATAGATATTTTTTAAGTTCAACACCGTGTTTAGTTTTCCTTAAAGCGAGGAATATTGTAGGGCCCGCAGGACAGAAGGAGTTTGTACGTTCTGTAACAAAAGTGAACAGGGAATAAAAACGATGAGAATGAGAGACGTTCTGAAAGGAAATGTGATCGATATTTAGACATAATAATAAAATTATTAATATTAATTATAAATTAAAGAACAGAAAACGAGTAAACAATATAGAATTAATATTGTGTAATACTTGAAACAATAATACCAATTAAATAAATATGTTGGAATAAACAAAAGAAAAACGAATCAGTTCATAAGCCAAAAGCATTTTCTATTTGTGTCACGTCAAGGAAAAAGGTGCGTATGAATCTATTTAAAATTTATATTTATTCATATTTCTTAAAAATTTATTTATTTAATTTAAAAACGGGAACGGGAAGCTATTCCCTTGCAGGTTGCAATTCAATCATTATTAATTAATACAATATATAAATTAATATTTAAAACAACAAACTAATGCCTAATTTCATTATGTAAACCTTTTAAACTTGTAGTTTTACATTCACAGTTTGACATTTCCGTCTACATTAATATGGCAGCTATATAATTAAGTCTCCCGATTTTTATAAAATCAAAACCGAAATTATAGAATAATACAAAATGGCTACATCTCAAATTTGATGAAAGTCTGTTGAAAATTGGACAAGATATAATTTTTTTATACAAATTTTCAAACTTTTCTATAGCGCCGACATGATATAGCCGTCCGTTTTTCAAAGAATTAAAAACCGAAGTTCTAGAATAATACAAAAAAGCTATATCTTAAATTATATGAAAATCTGTTGAAAACTGAATGAGGTTAAATTTTAAATTGTATTAATTTCTCGGTCGTTCCTATGGGAGCTCTATGATATAATAGTCCAATTTTCATAAAATTTTACACAAAATTGTAAAATAGTATAAAATGGCTGTATCTCAAATTTGATCAAATTCTGTTGAAAACTGATAATGTTATAATTTTTTTTGTAAACATTTTCCGATCATTCCTATGGCAGCTATATGATATAGTCATCCGATCCGGCCCGTTTCGACATATATATGAGTGAGAGTATATAGAAGACTAACTATAAAGTTTCATTCAGATAGCTTCAAAACTGAGAGAATAGTTTGCGTAGAAAAAGACAGACGGACATGGCTAGATCGACTCGGCTGTTGATCCTGATCAAGAATATAAATATATAAGAATATATATATAAACTTTATATGGTCGGAGGTGGCTCCTTCACTGCGTTGCAAACTTTTGAATAACCACCCCATTCATAGTATTATCTACTATACTATGAGTGTGTAAATATATTTACTAAAAAAACGAATTATCTTTTTTTCATTTGCAATTTAAATGTATTTAGTTTGGATTATACATTTGGATAAGGTAAACAGAGCGGGGGACCAAGGGACTCTGCCAGGAGCAGTATTTAATATCTTTCAAGGAGTTTGTTGGCGACAAGCTGGGCAATGACAACTCCCAAAATATCAAATTTTGTAGGTTTGCTTATTGCCACTCGAATGACGCCTCATCTTTGCTATAATTTTTGGATTACAAATTGCACTTGGAACGGTTTAGTTTTACATGGATATGGGTATACATATACACTGAGTGGTGGTGGGGCAAGGAGGCATTCACATACATAAATAGATACATATATTAATTGTAAATAATATTAACTTTTGGCCGATTGTTTTTGGGTAAGGAGAGAGAAATAGAGAAAGAGAGGTGTAGTGGTAGATATAAATTCAACATTGCCACTGAGACCGATACAATTTGATGCGTAATAAATAATTATGAAATAGCTTATAGATCGATTTTATACAATGCTGTTGCCTTCGCTTTCGCTATCGTCGCGTTCTCAGACAATGAAGACATCGCCACTGTTGTGCTCCACAGCGGAGGTGGCCATATCGCCGCTACAGCCGGGGCGACCGGCTGCTGGCTGCTGCGATGTGACCGAGATCTTGGATTCCACCTGAGGTTTGTTCTTGTCCAACTGCTCCGCCTCGTGCCCGATCTCAACGATGCCCTGCGGCTGCTGCCTCCAGGCGAGATGCCGAGATTCATGCGATTCAGGAGCATCATCCTGACCCGACAGGTGTATGCTGACCCCGGCCACGTCCAAATCCTCGCCATCCTTGTGGTTCTGGAATGTCACTGAGATTTCATGGGCTGCCGCTGCTCCCTCATTGGCATCGCCACCAGCACCTCCCTCTGGATCATTAAAATTGTTTGCTGTGGGTGTGGTGGCATTAGCATTCGCCTGCTGCGTCGTTATCGACGACCACCAGCTGGAAATGGCACCCTTGGCCTGCGAGATGGCACCACCGACCGCCCGACTTGTGTTGTTTACCGCCTGGTTTATCTTTCGGCCGCTCTCGCTGTTCTGCATGGTTCTATGGAAAACGTGGCACACAGATTGAGTTTGGTTCTTAATCATTTTTAGGCTGACGGCTACTCACTGTGCTAGTTTTAGTTTCATATCCGCGACCGACAAAGTTCCGGCAAAGGGATGACCTGCGGGCAGAGCGTCGAAGAAGTCCGGGTCGGGCCGCACATCATACCACTCCTGGAAGCATTGGGTTCGCTTGAAGGCGCCCATGAAATGGCAGTTAAAGTGATCGTTGTCTTTTGGTGTAACATCTACAAAGGAGTATATATCATTTTCAGTTAGTTTGCTTGGAAAGATCGTAAAAGAATACAGTTCAATCAAGAAAGGAACCATAAACAGATAGATTGCTTACCCGGCGCCACTGCAGTTCGTAGCAGGGCGAGAATGTATCCTTGGAACTGCTCCCGTATCCAGTACTCGCTGCCCTCCGCATCCTCCTTGGGCGCTTGCACGTGCTTCATTATGTAGTCCATGTAGCGCAGATCCTCGGTACTTAGCACCAATTGACGTCGAAGCTCTGGGTCGTGGGCATCCAGATTGGCCGCCTCAATGTCTACCAGGACGTCAGCCAGCTGACGCTTTTGCTGGAAGAGGACGTTGGAGGTTCCGATGATATAGGATAGCACCATTGGATCGCTCAACAAGTCCATGTACGGCAGCGACAGATACGGCAAGCAGAGATTGCCGCTGGCAAAGATGCTGACCGGGGCGCGGTACTCATCCGGGTTGACCGAGCACAAGGCGGCGAGGTTAGCTGCATGGAAATACATTGTTGTTTATACTTAAAAAATGTATACTAAAAGTAATGTTACGCTTATTTTTATTTTACTGAAAACAAAAAATAATATAATATGGGTTTTCCCAAAGAAAACCCGTCCAAAAGACGGAGTTCAGGGATAATTCGCAACTAATATGGCGCAATATCTTGACAGATATTAAACCTTGTTCAATTCTTGGTTACTCACACGCCAGAGTGTCCACGCTTGCCTCTCGTGTCAGCGATATGCTCCGCTCGTTCGATGAGCCTGTAAAGTTAGACGAGTCCTGCGACTGTGAGTTGGGCGTGGAATGCGGCGAAGTGTCATCGCCGCTGCCCTGCTCCTCGCCCACAGAGGCGGCGGATGAGACGAGGGCAAGCTCGTCCGCTTCACCCTCAGCGGCTGTCGCGCTGTCCGGCGTTAATTTCTGCTCCTCCAGTGTGGCAGGGGGTACGCCTGCCGACGACGTTGCGATGACGGTGCCCAGTTCAGCCTCCGCCTGAGCTTCCCGCTGCAGTGAGTCTGTGAAGTCTGGCATCGGCGACAGGGGGCGGGAGGTGCGCACGCAGGCCACCTCCTGAAAGCCCTTCTCAAGCAAGCGCGGCACCAGCGAGGCCATGCCCAGGATAAGCACGCACATGCCGCGCACCGGCGAACCGAAGCACACCACACGTCGTTGCAGCAGGAGGAGTTTGAACAGCATTAGGGTCTTATGGCGCCAGTGGAGCACTATCTCGCGCAGCGACAGGCCGACATGGAAATGGCGTAGCGGCCGACGTGACTCGTCGTCCAGCAAGCAGGCGTTCAGCTGCTGGTAGGCCTTCACCAGCAAATCCGTGCCCGAGAAGTCGCCCTGATCGAAGAAGGCGTCGGCGATCAGCGACAGCTTCACCTCAATGTAGCCATAGATGGGCAGGCGGGCCAATATGCAGACGGACTTCTGCACCGTGCTTCGTGTGACGTCGGCTGTGCGGATCTTGAGCCGCTCCACGGGTATCTGGCGGTAGCAGGACACACCGTAAATGCTTTCAGCAGGCTCGAATAGGCTGGGCAGATTGAAGAAGACCGTGTCCTCGGCAAAGTTGTGCGAACCGTCGGGCAGAGCCAGCGTGGGAAGGTACTTCCAGCCGGAGGGACACTCGTGGCGGCCCGTAGAGCCGGAAATTAAAGGCGGATGCGAAAACTCCACCTGGCAACCCAGCTTGTGGTGGAAGCCCACCACCAGGATGTGCAGGATGGGCGGCTTGTTTTCCGGCTCGCTGGCACGCTCCATCCTGGCTCCTAAGTCCTCCTCCACTGTCGTTGACGCAACGCAATTGTTATTGTTTATACCCCTCCCTTTGTCACACTTTTTCCGCAAATTCTCCCCTGACTCCTCCGCCTGCCTGCGTCAGCGTTGGTTCTCGTACTCTTGCACCGGCGGCAGCAGCACTCAATTCGGTCGGTTCCTTTTGTTCCAACTCGTAGTTTTCGTTAAATTGTTTGCAGAAATATTTAATCTACCGAAACTACAAATAAATCCAATTGGTTTTGCGAACTAGAATTGGAATTTATCGTATTTGTAATGGTAAATGGACTATCGATAAGCATAGCCGTGCACTCGATAGTTGGCTTATTCGATTGCTTGACTCGCGCTTCAAAGTCTATCGATAGGCTCGATTCGATTTAAACGATTCAATTTAGACGATGACACTTTTGCTCATGATAAAATTAAATTTGTCTAACGGTTTAGCAGAACCGTTAAAATGATTTCCTGATCCCAACAGCTTTTGGCCAGCGGTTTTTACGAAAATAACATTTTCATCTGTTTGAGATCTTAGGTTCCACTTTAACCATGATTAGTATTTTAAAAAATATGTAAATTAGGTTTACTGTTTAATAATCTTAGTTGATTTCTAAGGTATAAAGAATGTTGCAATATATATTAGTTTGTTGTTTTAATTGCTTATTTTAATACAACAAAGTGACAAAAATGGTTTATTTGCCATTAAGGAGGTATACAAATTTGTCATTCGTTTTAATTATGGCAATCTGAACCATTTTTTTACTACATTTAAAAATTACGTACGTAAACCATATAATAAACATATTTTAAATTCATTACCAATTTTATAGCCCATATATTCATTTTACAATTAAATTTTTTTTTGCAAAGTTCAAGGTCGGTTTAAAGAAAAACTATTATTTTAAAAGCAATTATTACTTTATTGATCTTTGAATTATGTTAAATACTTGAAAAAGACTAAGGGGACTAAAGAATTCACGCATTATTATAACGACACATAAGAGCATTTATAAGTAGAATTTGAACCTTTAACTTTGTTTTTGTTTTTTTAATTTGTGTTTGAAAGCCGGTGATAAGATTTCTCTGAATTGGTTCAAGAGCATAATCTAAAATTTGTACACATTTTTAAAATTAATTTTCTTCTTAACTTAATCCAAGCTTATCAATTTCCAATATTAAAAAAGTTTTGTTATACATAAATTAAATTTAAAATTATCTGAACAGCATTTGACATTGTCAGGTCGTTTTAATGATGACTCAGTCGAAAACAATAAAAACTTCTGAAACTTATTTAAATTATATTCCCAACTAAAAGTACAATCTGACTATTTAACAATTTTAGTAAAGCCTTTGGTTCTAACAATCATTTTTTACTTCTTAGTTATATTGAATTGTACGGTTAAAAGGGGTTTCTTTATTTTGTGAGAACTTTATTTTAATATCAATCCCAACTCTGTTATCTCCTTCGTCAGCGTGGCACGGCTAAATCTTCCCTTATATATAATATTTAGATAAAAAGATGTTTTTAGTATTTATTGTTCAACGATTTCCTATGAAAACCGGATCTACTTTAAGTGCAGGAGAGCCAAAAAGAATGTCAAACAAAGAGAGGGTCATCATTCCATGTATCCCATTTGCGAATCTGTGGTGCCACCGAGATTCCGACGAGAGTAGAGTCCCTGACGTGGCTTGAACTTACCATCGCCCAGCGTTACCTTGGCTGGCAACTTCTTGCCCCGAAAAGTGGCAGACTCGAAGGATGGCGGCGGTGATACCTTTACATGTTTCACCTCCTCCACCGTGGGAATGTGCCAGGCCTGCTTCATGGTGGCCACTGCACTGGGCGGACCCGTCGAGGAGTTGTCCTCGCCGCCATCTTTGCCGTCCTTCTCGTCCACCGGCTTAACCAGTGTGATGGGAGGTTCCAGCTTGCTGGTCTTCCTCTTGTAGTAGAGCACCTCCATGCCAAGCGTCATCATGGCCAGAATGAGGCCAAAGAGTGTGGCGATAAACACACCGCCAAGACTCTCCAGGGTGATGCCCTCCTGATCCTCGGAGAGCGGGCAATTGCGCAGATTCGATTGATTCCAGTACTTGGCCTTTAGCTCCTCGAAGAAGCGATCCTTCTGCAGCTCCAGGATGGCGTAGCTCAGTTCGTCGCCCAGGTGACTGCCCTGCTGGACGGCCACCGCATATGGTTGCTCCGCAAAGACCTCGCCCACCTCGGTGAGATTGCAGTTGCGTGTGATCTCGTACTTGATCTCCGCCGAGTCATGGATAAAGGCATAGTCGGCATTCTCATGGGCGTCCACATTGGCGAATCCCTCGCGGGCATCGGCCACCGGCTGTGAGCTATTGATGGCCAGCAATATGTGGCCATACTGCTCCTTGATGGGATAGTCCCAAATGCGAAACTTCTTAAAGTCCTTGGACGCATTCAGCGCCAGCTCCTTCCACATTCTATAGAGCGTGTCTTCGGCGAACTTCATGTTCACGAAATACTGATGCGTGTCCGAGTCCTTCACCACGGTGTAGTTGATCCTTGATTGTCGGGCTAGCTGCTCCAGTGACTGAACCGGCGTCTGCATTCGCTCAACCGTAAGAAAGGCCGCCAAATTGGCGGTGAAGGTGGCCAGCATGAGGACGACAAACAGCCAATAGGCGGCAACCAGCATCCTGCCGGAGATGGCCTTCGGTGCCTCGCCGCCTCCCTGTGGCGTGAACGAGGTCAGAGCAAACCAGAAGCTCTCGCGAAGCGTAAAGTCCCGGCAGGCGTACGGATAGGCCGCCCTATTGTTCTTGGAGCTGTATGGCGAGTACTTGTCCATGAACCAAATCATGATGGCCGTGCCCACCAAGGCGGCCACGATGCTCAGCCAGACCTCCACGCGCAGCACGGTCATGAACTTGAAGAGCGACGTCCGACGCACTGGCTTCCTAATCGCTATCGAGATGCCCGTCTGCTCGAAGTACGGCGGCAGGAAGTCCACCACCTCCTCGCGCTCCGAGTACATCTTTAGGGCGGCAATGGCAAAGTCCGTTTCGCCGCGTACCAGATCTCCGACCACTCCATCCCACTCGCCGGACTCGTTCACCTCGCCCATGTGACCCACCTCGGGTGCCACTATGACGTACTCAAAGTTGAGCTTCTGGGCCAGGCGCATAATAAAATCGATGCAGTAACCATCCCAAATGGGTGAACCACTGCGATCCCTTACCAATTCGCTAGTCTTTGGGTTGCGGCGCAGGTAACTCCACGGCACGCTCTCCGCCGTTCCGATCCTGAAGAAGCGACGCGCCGGACTAATGGTCTCGTTGAGCAACCGCAGCCGGCTACCCGACGATGACCAGGCGGCCAGATCGGTCTTAGCCTCGTGCTCGGAACTGTAATAGCCAGCGGAGATGTTAACCGCATAGCTTAAACCTGCAACGGGGCTCTGCGTCTTGTCCGACAAGTGCTGAACGGGCGTGGCGTAGGTCAGAAAGTTGCTCCAGTGGACATAGTCCAGCCAGGTGGAGTCAGCTTCCGCTGTGGGATCTCGCTTTTCCGCTGAAAAGTCCTGTGAGTCTGTGGCATTGCAGTCGTGGTACACGACCTCCGGACGTATTCCCTGGGCCGTTTCAATCAGACTGCGCATTACATTCAACAGCATCCCGCGCTGCATCTGGAGGGGATTTACGAGAAAAGACAAGTAAGACCAGGAAGAGGAGTGTAAGGCATACTCACCGTGAATCCACTGCCACAGTATAGATCTGGCATGCGCATCGATCGGCAAATTGCACGGGGACTCAGGGTGAATCTAGTGCACAGCTCCGCCTGGCGCTTGTACTTGAACACCCGATCCCGGGTGTCCAGGAAAACAAAGTGCCATTCTAGGGATCGCTGGAAAAGTCCAGCTTTTTGTACCTAATATAAAAGAAAAAATGAAATTATGGATGCAGTTACTCCCCAAAGTCAAAGACTCACCTTTTCAAAGATACCATTCATGGCGGCGCCGCGAGCAAACAACGCCACGTAGGTGGGCGATGGACGCAAAGCATGAATGCGATCTACGAAATTCTGGCCAGGATCGGGTACACTGGCATCCATGATGATCGTACGAAAGGGATAACCAATGAGCATCTGCTGCATAGCTTCGCTCATATCCCGAGCATTCATGAAGACCATGGCCACATTGTTGGCACGCTTCTGTCGCATGAAGTCACCAAACATGTCCAGAAATGGTCGCAGGATGCGTTCCAGGCGCACATAGGGAATGCCCAAGGAGCGTACAAAGTCGTATCCTTCGGACCAGTGCTTGTAGGTGAGATCTATTACAATGTTGGTCCCGACTGTGGACAGAATCTCACAGACTAGAACAAAGAATAACATGAATTAAATTAAATATGAAACTTTGTTGAGATATCCCAAATATCCTCAGGAAGTCGTTAAAACGTTTTATAATCATTTCAAGGGATTTCTACTTAGTTTTTTCCATTTAAAACTAGTTCCCCAATATTTTATCTTAAAAGGAAGAACCCCTGGGCACTGTGAGTTCAGGGTTTCAATCGGATTTTAATCATAAACTTACTTCGCTGCATGTCTTGGCCATCTTCGGTGCGTGTCAAGGACATGGACATATCCTCCACCTTCAAATCAAGTGGCATGGATCCCAGCTCCTTGAGGACCACTGCCATATCTGCATCGAACTCCGCTCGCTGCACTGGCTCAATCCAAAATGCTGTTAGGAGTAATCAGAAATTTAACTCTCAATCGAGGCGAATTTCCAAGAACACCCACTTATTTTCAGAGTCTCCAAATTGGCCGTCGATTGTCCAAAGAGGAGCAGAAGCACCAGTAATTCCAGCAGCTCCATGCCTGCAACCGATTGCGTCGAGTTCTCTCCGGGATTTGAGTCTTGGCGTCCAGACAGGAGTTGCTCAATTTGCTGGCCAATTATGTCAATTATAATTCGCGTGCTATGCCCATCACTGGGCATTATGAATTTTTCAGCAACTTGAAATGACAGCCGTCTTGGAGGAGCTCCATTCCCCACCCAAGTTAAAGTCAAGTTGAAATATTGGCTTCTGTTATTTCCTTGTATTCAGTTCATCCAATACAGTGCAAATAAAATAAAAAGGGAAACATTTGTGCATCGGTTTTTGTTCTGAAGGCCTTAAGGTTAACAGGGGACGGGGGGAAAAAAAAACATCGCTTAACGGATAAATCAATATACATTTAAATCAATATACAGCTTTATATATTTCGAAATATATATGAATGCAATGTATGAATAATGGAAACATAACTTAACCTTTCATCTGGTAAATTCTTCTGAGAATGTTGTGTGAACAGGATGTACTGCTCCCTCCGTCTCGGTCTCGACTTACGACGAAAATAAATAAATACAAAATTAATGTAATCGATTCTCCAGCGATCCCTGGGACCAGACACTGGGCCCCAAGGTTGCCAGGTATCAGGTTGCATGAGTAACATGATGGCTTAACAATAAACGATGGTTAATTCACTTGAAATTTGGACTGATTGCCTAGGCCTTATATCTAAGGGGAACTTATAGAGCTAAGAAAGAAATATTTCTGTGACTGACATGAGGAGCGGGTTGCCAAGATCAATGTGCTGCTCCAATCAGGTGCCATGAAGGTGCGACAATATCGACTCAATGTCCTCAATCTCCACCGTGTGGTTCTCGCCCAGCGGCTCCCTTAACAGGTCTGGCTGACCCTCCTGCCGATTATCGCCTCCGTCCGCCTTTTTGGGAGTTGTGTTGCTGTGGGAACAAAGGAAATCGATATTAAGATTGGCAATAATAATAAACTTTTTTGTCAGATATTTTTTAGTTAGTGTTATCTTTTAAGCTTAATTTCAATAACCACGGATTGGGTTATAGGTGAATTCAATTCATGGCATAGTTCTATGGTTGGCTAAGAAATGTAAATTAATTGAAATCTATGGGGAGATACTAAGATTACTATGGAGTAGTTACTCTTTGTGGAGAGGAATAACAAATGAAGATTCCTTCCCAATATGAAGAAAGTGAATTTTCTATGGATACGGCAATTCGAGATAGGATAGCATAAAGAAAAATATTTAGTAAAATATAAATTAATGGCATTGTAAAATATATCCACCGCATCAGCTATTTATGAAGTGGTCAAAAACCCAAGCAAATTTGCTATATTCCCTTCCTCCATTAAATTCAAAACCAACTACAACAACAATAAGAAACTTGGAAAGCAAACTCTTTCCAAAAATTAAACTTATTTGAATCCCAGCCACATCGAATTAAAAAGGCAATAAGACAACGGACAGAGCAGCTAGGAAACCACACAAAAACACATCAATCTTCTCAGAGAACTATAAAACCAAAGACATTGCACAACACCTAAAGATTTACTACATCTTCAAACAGAAATAATTGTAAATAATTGTAAGAAAACATCACAGGAAACTTCTTATGTAATAAACACAATCCCTAACAGACAAAATAATAATTAATAATAATGGTCTAATATGATAAAAATTCACAATATATATATCACTCCAAAGTCTGCTCTTTTTTCAATACTGGTGAAATAGAGATTCATAATATATCAATAAACTGTACTGCACCATTCCAACCCATAACTATATTCCTTTCCTGCGAAAAACCCTAACCAACTCCTATCTAACCCAACAACTGAAAACTCAAATAAAATTTCTTTGTTTCTTCACAAAGCCAATTAATTTTCTACTTACAAATTTAGTCTCTAATTCACTATCACACCTAAAGATCATAAAGACTTTCTCAGTCGCTCAGAAACTAATGCTCATAACGTATATGTTACCTTTTAGTTTAAAACAATTGCTAAATTTAGATAGATAAATTAATAACTACAAGATCCTAACAAAATCAGGAAAAGTGCGCTCTTAATATATACATTTTTAACATTTCTTCAGAAAAGTTATTTAAATTTGACCGAAATGGATCGACCTTTGTTGAAACAATTGGGAATTGCAAAATGGAATTCCCGAAGCTAACTACCTTCCACGTTCTTAGTTTATATCGTTTCGTTTTCAAAATATATATAATTATAATTCCCCACTGAAGATGGAAGAGGGATTAATAGTTTATGGGGTAATCACTTTCACTTACATGGCAGCCACTTCCAAATCATTGTCATCCTGCGGCAATGGTTCCTTGCTCAACGCTGTCAACGGCTTATCCGCCAGCGGCGTGGATGTAGCCGAGGGCTGATCACCCGCTCCACTTGCACTTGACCCGGTCGCCGCTGCTCCACTATTGCTGGTCAGACGGCGTATGCGCTTTTTGGGTATGTTGCGAATGACACTGGACAGCGGTTGCCCCAGTTGCAGCACCTGGGCACTGGCCATGCGCAACGTGTGCAGCTGGTCCTCCTCCGTCATCAGTCGCATCTGGTAGTTCTTGAAGTAGGACGCCGATGGACGTATCATCGAATTGCTGGCCTTGGGTCCGTGGTCCGCATAGGAAAAGGAGAAGGTGCAGGACTCCAGGCTGCTGCTCAGGCACATGTCCAGCTCGTAGTCGCTGTCCCCCGCCGGAGGGGCAGGATTCGACTGGTCTTTAACTGGGCTCGGCTGCTGCACCTGGGGCTGGGGAATCTGCTGATGCTGCTCCGGGGACGAGGATTGTGTAGATTCGGCTTCCGCCACCATGGGCAGAGGCTGAGTCACAGCCGAGGAAGAGGAGTTGGAGGCAGGCACTCGGGCCTCGGCACGTTTCTTGGCAGGCTTCTTTGTGCTCGCCTTCGCGGTGGCCTTTGTCAGTTCGCTGTCGGAGACGGCTTTGGTCAGGGTCAGCTCCTCCTGAGCTGGTTTATTGTCAATCAGACGCGAGGAACGGCGCATGGATATTTTTGGCGTTGTGACCGTCTTCTTGGGGCGACCACGTTTACCCGGCGCCGGTTGCGCCTCAATTTGCACCGCAGCACGGCCGACCTTGGACTTGGCAGCATTCGTTGCGGGTTCCTGCTTTTTGGCCGATAGATTGAGCGCTATGAGCAGAGCTGGATCCCGTTCGCTGGCCGGTGGATCCTTATTGGGAATGACTGAGCGATCTGAATCCCCTGTCTCCTTCTCCACAGCTTCTGTTGGCGGCTTCTGTGCTGCTGCTGTTGGTGGTGGTGGTGGAGCTGAAGCTGCCTGGATCTTGTTTGGCTCAAGGTGCTCCCGCTTCTTGGGGGACTTCTGGCTGCTGGGATTGGCCAACTTGGCGGTTTCCCGCATGGCGGTGAGCTTCTTAACGGCTGTCTTCTTGCTTTGTATCCTGACAACTGGCTGGGCCAACTTGACCTTAGCCATGACCCTTTGACGCTTCTCGTCTAGCTGCTGTCGCTGCCGTTGCTCCTGCAGAACCACGGATGACGCGGGCGTTGGAGGTGGTGGTGGTGGTGTCCCTTCAAGAGGTAAGGTGGGCGGCGGTGGCGGAGGAGCAGCAGTACATTCCTGTGGCGGCAGAGGAGGAGGAAGAGGAAGAGGAGGTGGTGGTGGTGGTGGAGGAAGTGAAGCCGGAGTTACTCGGGCGTTCAATGGGGCAGGATGTTGAGGTGGTGCTCCTTGAGTTGATTCTCCGCTGGTATTTGCCTCTGGGAGTGCTGCTTGCTCCTTACTCGGCGTCAGCCAATTGCGTATGGGATAGCGCACCTCACCATCCTGGCTAAGCAACTGACCCGGCTGGCTATCGACGGCCAGCATGGGCAGCACTGCATCTTGCGATCCAGTGGCTGCCTTCAGCCACTCTTCGTCCTCGGTGCTGCTGATATTCGAGAGATTGTCTATGTTGATTAGGTGTTTCGGCTCCACATCGTTCTCGCCTTCCTCCGGTTCTTTCTCGCTCTGAGAGGATTGCGACGACGAGGAGCTGGACGATGAGCTGCTGGAGGAACTGGAGGAGCTGGACGACGAGGAGCTGGTGGTCGAGGAGCTGGAACTGTTAGATACCTCGATGATAGCCTCGGGCAGACCAGGCAGGAGCTTGTAGTGCGGATGGTGCTGATCAGAGGGACAGCTCCCAGCGGCAGCGGACTCTGCACTGTCAACGGCTTCGCTGCCAAAAGATCGAACGCGCCGGAGGACCGTGGGCTCCACGGCGAGAACGACGGGTCCCTGCTCCTTGCGCTCCTCACTGAGATGACTCGTCAACGGCACTTCTCTCTCAACGCTCTTCTTCAGTTTGAAACTCTGCTCTTTGGGACTGTCCTTGTCCTTCTTCATCTTAACCGGAGTTGGCTCGTGCGGCTCGTCCAGCTTCTTCTCCTGAATTTCCTCCCACTGCTGTATCGCGCACTGCGCATTCGCATCCGTGTGCTCCGCCTCGTCGGGGCGATAATAGGAGCTGCCAGAGGAGTATTCCGTCTTGGCGGCACTGCCCACAGGGGTGCCCGGGATATGGCCAAAGGGTGTGCAACGGAAGCCCGGCGTAATGGCGCTCAGCTGCGGCGTATTCATAATACTCTTGGTATCCGAGCCGAACAGAAACGAGCTGCTCGGCATCTTGCCGTAGGGTGTGTCCAGCGGCGCAATGGCCATGCCTGGCGTTGGCGGAACATTGGCAACAAATCCGCTCGTTGTGGTTCCTTCTGGTTCGCCACTGCCCGTGGCAGGAGCATCGTCGGCTGTTCCACATCCCAAGGGAGATGCCTTGAACGGCGTATCCAATAGCAGAGCCATGTTGGGCGGTGCCAGATCTACGGGCTCTTCCTGCTTCTCCTTCTGCTTCTGCTTCTCCTCTGGCTCTTTCTCTCCACTCGCCTTCTCTTTCTTATTCCCGTTCTCCTCCACTTGAGGCGTTTCTTTGTTCTCGTCTTTGGTTTCCTCTGCGACCGGCACCAACTTCTTTTTCAGGGACTTTGGCTTCTGTGGCGTTGTGATCTTAATGCTGATTTTCTCCGGGGAATCGCCGCTGCCACGCTGCACTGTCTTCTTGAACGGCTTCTTGGCCAGCGCGCTTCTGCGAGCCTTGGAGGCGGCCGTAGTCGGGGTATCCTTCTTCTTGGGCCGCCTATTGCGGCCGCTGACCTTCAATGTCTCTTCGCGCTTCGAATTGATCTCGCGGAGTCGGTACTCTAAATCTACACTGGAGCCATGTAACTGGCGCTGCCAGGCGGCCATCAAATCCTCCTCACCGGCTGCTTCCGCGGCGGATCCCGGGCAGGATCCCTCAGGATTACCCTCCGCCAGATGCTGCTGCTGCTGCTGCTGCTGCTGCTTCCCCTGGAGATTCTCTTTGCTGGCCTCGGCGCTGTCATCGTGCGCCGATGAGTTGGCGCTACTTGCCGACGTGTTCTTGGGTCCCTGCTTCTCCTTCTCCAGCTTCCTTTCGGTTTCCGCCTGGGAGACAATGCGCTTGCAGGCCTTCACTGCCGCCTGGCGCTTCTGCTTCCGCTTGGGTGTCGTAACCAATGGCTCGGCTGCCGCTGCAGCTGGAGGATGGGCCTTGATCACCGTCTGATTGCTACTCTCCTCCATGGCGAACAAGGGCGGTACACCGCCGTGGCCGTCATTCGAGCTGAGATCGCAGGCTGGCTGGATTATCTCCACGTGGTTAATGATGGGTTTCTCCTTGGCTTTGGCCACCAAACCATGTCGCCGGGTGGAGAGCGGCGTCGTGGGATGCAGGACCCGACCAGGAGGAACCTTTGGGGAGAAGGTTAAAGTTCGTACATGCGAGGTTCTCTTTCGAGGAGTGGATAAGCTACGAAAGGCCTTTACATTGATTATACCCGACGTGGAGGGCGTCACCCGTTCCAGAACCTGCCGCGACGAGTCCAGTGAAGCGGGCGGTAACTTTCGCTGTTCCTCTTCATCCTCCTCCGCCGGCGCCGATGGCGCCGCCTTTTCCACCGTCTTCTTAAGGTCGGCTATCAGCTGAACCGGCGGCTCCACCGTTGGAGGGGGTGGCGGCTGCTTCAGGGCACTGTTGATGATTATGGAATTGGGCGGCAACTGATTGGCGGACAACGTTATTTGCTCTGGCAGAGAGATCTCAATATGTGAATCGTCCATGTTGGCAAAGGCGTCCGGGCCCAGTTGCTGGGCCACCCACTCGTTGTTGACCAGGAACGGAAAATGCGAGACCAGGCCGCCGTTCGAGAGGTACATCGGGAACGTCAATTGTCCGGTGGCGGCGTCCACGCACACTTGGCCGGCTGCCGCCGCTTCCGCCTCCGTTATCATGCCCGCCGGATCACCAAAGTTGAGATTCAGGCCATCGCTAGCGAAGCTCACGTTCGCCAAGTCCCCGCCGGCCAACATTTTCTGGACGCTCTCGTTCGAGTTCAGCACAATCAGTTTGGAGATGGAGAAGTTGGGATCGATGTTGTTGGCGGTGCGAATGATAAGCGGCGTTTGGGGCGGCACTGGATCTACTGAATCGACGGGATCTACTGGTTCCGCTGCGTTCACTGTACCTTGCAGATCTGAAGGAGGAGGCACAGTGGCTTCCGTTACGCTGGCGGCCACGACTGCTCCCAATGTTGTTGGCGGAGGCTTTGCCTCCGTCTGCGCTTGCAATACAGCCACCTCTGTCGACGCCGGTGGGGATGCGCCATCCGTCGACGTCAGCGGTGGGTCGCCGGCCACCACCTCCTGGATGACGCGATCGAACGAGGGATCCTTCTCGGTGGCCTCCAGTATGTTCTTCACCAGGCCGTCTAACACATCGTCGCAGCTGAACGTTGGATTGTTCACCTTTACTGTTTTCAGCGCCATGTTGATGTTGTTTACCAGCGTGTTCTGGAAGTCTTGGTTATTAATTATCGCACTGGCCAGTTCCTAGAAAAAACAATTTCAGTACAACTCTTTTCATGGAAATAGCAGTGAAATCCGCAACTTACCGGCATAGATTGCGGTGTTAGCGCCAGTGGCTTCGCCTCGGAGTGGCTCTGACGCGGAGTGGAATTATTTCGCGGACCAGGACCATTGACTGGCGGCAGCTCCTCCACCAAATCCTCAAATTCCTCTGTGGCCGTAGAGCTGGTCTCCTCCTGCGCCGCGTCCTCATCGTCATCATGGCTAACCAGAAAGCTCGTTTTGGCCTTGCCGCGGCTACTCAGGCTGCAATATAAATGAGGCGGAAGCAGGCGCGGACGTTTGCTGAAGGAAGGCGACGACAAGTAGTTTTCCGGAGTGCATCTAAAAGGAATAAGGAAAATATTAGCTTCATGCTTTCACACTGATTGGAAAAAATCTATAATTACAAACGCCTCCGCTTGCGATGCGCCTGCGATGTGCTGGCATCGCCGCCACCTTCGGCAATGGTACTTTCGTTGGTGCAGCTGACGCTTCTATCCACCGCTGGTGACATGGTCATCAGTTCGTTGACCCGCTCGGACAGCTTCAGTTGCTGCAGCTGCTGGCGCGCCTCCAGGGGCAGTTTCTGCACGGCTTTGGCAACTATAGCATAAAGAATTTTGAAGTGGTTAGGGAAAATCGACTGTGTGTGTATGTGGAACCTTACCCAAGCCCGTGATTTTGACGTGCTCGCAGATAATTTCCTCCAGGCCGCCATTGAGGAAGTTGTGCGTCTGCAGGCCCTGCTTCAGGGCCAGAAACTCATGCTGCAGGTGCGGCGAAGTGCGACAAAGGGTATGGGCCGCTCGCCGTAGATTCTGATTAACTAAGTAGCCTGTAAGCGATTACAGGCATTAGCAAGCAAAAAACAAGGTTGCCAAGGACGATTCTTACCCAAAACGAGTCGGGCCACATCCGAATGCAGAACGATCGAGTCCATGGTTGCGTTTCCAGGGATAAGCGTCACACAAACATCCGAAAATCCAAACAGCAAGCGAACGCCGCTTGTCTCTCTTCCTCGTTGATTTAATTTTTAATTCCGCTGCCTATAGCCCCACTCCTTGGTTCTGTTCGCCGCGCTTAAGATACCAGTGCTAATCTCTAACTAGTTACTAATACTTTTTTTTTTGTGCCTTTCTACTCGGACGCAAAGACACACTTTTTCGCCTATTTGCCTATTATTTTCGTTTGTTGTTGCCGAATGAAGCAGAGCACTGTACAGTACAGGGCAACACACACACCTTTAGCATCTGTTTGCCGCCCGCCAAAACAACGATAGAGGGTTGCCGTTTCGTTCGAATATCGGTATGTTGGGCTTGAAGAATAGTGCGTTAAAAACGGTAAAGTTTGGTATGGAAAACGACAACCGGCGTTTTAAATCATAAGTGAATAAGCGAGAGGCAAATAGTATAGAACGACTGTCGAAAAAAAAAAACATAAAATTTATAACGAATTTTAATGGCGTTGCCAGAAGGCTGTCTTTTAGTATTTTCAAAGCATGGCGCCAAAAGGGGCGCTGAAAAGAAGATATTGGATACATTTATAAGTGTTCCGGCTCTTAGAATCGGCCATGACACTGGCATTAGTTTATAATTACTCTTCGTAATTGCTGTTTTCAGGAGTTGTATGAAAAGGAGAACATAAGTTGAATGGTGCTGCCAGATGGCTCGTAAGCGCACTTTTAGTATTTCCCGAGTTAGGCGCGAAAAAAAGTATATGCTTCTAGGAATCGGTCAAGTCACCGGCATTTATTTTATTGCTGTCTTAATAAGTTGTGTGGGCACGAGGGAACAAAATACTAGAAAGCTAAGTGGCGCTGCCAGATGGCGCGACGGCACACTTTTAGTATTTCCAGAGCGGGGCGCGAAAAACTGCAATACCTATCGATAGATTCCCGGCTCTAGGGATTGGGCATTTCAGCGGCATTTGTTCAAGTTGAGTTGTAAAAATTTGTTAGTTCATATATAATATTAAAGCTAATCCGCACGAAGAGAAGATGTGTGAAGTTGGTAATCTGATTGACTTAACACCGGGAGAGGAGGCTAGCAATGAGGAGACATGGTTCGAGGAGCCCGAAGAGTCGATTGTGGCCTCGAACAGCTTCAAGGGCCCTACGATCCCTTCGACTCGATCGAGAAGGAAGCTTGCGCCAAGGTTAGCAACCTAATGCATGTGTATGCGCTGCGGTAACCGCTATTTATACATATGTGTGCTTGTCTGTGTTCCCCAATATAGGGCATTGCTCTGAAGGCGCAAATCACGGAGGATCTGTCGGTCGCCGAAGCTCACTATCCGGATTTGAGCAACGAGAGCCCGCCCGTGGGCATGCGCAAAGAGTCGCTTGGCGAAACACCGCGCCAGCGCTGCACCAGCAGCTCGTTTCAAAAGCAGCTTCTGAAACTGAATGCCTCTCGATCGGCGGCCAATCTGCCCAAATCCAAGATCTGCGATGGCAGCACTCCGTTTGAGCGGACGATCCTCAACGAAAACCAACAGATGCTGTCGGCCGAGTCGCCGCTGAAACTCGTCGAAGACGACGATCTGGCTTCCAGTTTGAAATTCGAGCAGGATCTCCGAATGCTGCGAATTTCAAGTCTGGACGATCACAAAATAACCGCAGAAACGGAGGCAAATCTTTCAACGACCGATGATCCGCCAACAAAGGATGGCGAGGTGTCACAACTCTTGCAACGCCTAAGAGCGTTAGTTCATCAAGTGGTTGATAAGACCAATTGGCATCTATTCGATGCCATAATAGAACCTATTGCTGCCCTTATTGGTCCTGGTACCGGTTTTGCTCAGGACCCCGAAATAAATGTCAGTCCCAGTGCCAATTCTCCGGAGGCCAGAGAACCTGACAAAGTACCTGTTTTGCCCTACACCCGACAAGCCACATTCGATCTAGATCTTCAAGTAAGTGTGTACTTTCGGCTCCCCAAGGATCAATGCTTTAATTACTTATTTCTTAAAAGGAAAATTTGACAAAGGGATCTGGCAGTACTGCAGTGGGACAGGAGGACGCGACAGAGGCAGAAGGACTGGTGCCGGGCAGCAAAGTCCAGGACTTTCCCGATGCCATGACCTGCTCCGCGGCCACATTTGACGGGGAGCCCCGGCTCCTGGATCCCGCTGGAGCCCTGCCATCCCTGAATAGAAAGGAGTTCATGACCGAGCTAGTTGATGATACCCTAGCACTGCAGATAAATGAGCTGCTGGAAAGGCATAAGCTCGGGCAATCGATGGTCGGCGATCACGAACAAAACGGCGTCGATCCGCGTACAGTCATCCTGCTGGTGAATCCCAGCAACTATAGCAGACAGGCTAAGACCCAGCCCAGTTGTATTGTGCAGCCCAACCCAGTGCCGCTGGGTGTTTCCAATGATGCGGACTCAATGCGACGACGATCTTCGTCCCTATCCATCCACGATAAGCCCAAGATGCGCAAGGAGATCACGAAAGCCGATAGCCACGACGAAAACCAACAGAATGTGCCGCCCAGGGATGTAAAGAAAGCAGCCGATTTGGCATCTTTCCGCCAGAGACGCAACTCCTTTTCGACGACCAGCAATCCGCCCATCAAAATCGGAGAGAGCAGGCGCATTGTTCTAGACCGCATGAAGACGCCACCCATAAACGAATCGGCGGTGGTGACCAAGTCTAGTGGAAACACAAAAGCGATGATACCCACTAAGCGGGTGGCTCCGTTTGTGAAGCAGCCCGCAGCTGCGTCCAACGAGACCACATATCTCAATCCACGACAATTGGCGGCGCCACGTAATGTCACGGTGCCCGAGACGCCCGTCTCCTTGCGCTCCAAGCCCGCTCCAAAAGTCTTCGCCACAAGCACGCCATTGCCGCAGATGCGGTCGCAGCAACGCCGATCATTAAAGCCAACTGTGGGCCAGCCATCATCAAACACCTTGGCCAATGCCTCATACACGACGCCAAATTTCCGGCGGCCGAGCTTCTCCAAGAAGCCGGGCAACGGCTAGAGTGCGTCACTAGCTGGTCCCGTGAAGCAATGTCGCCTGAAAGTGAACCCAAACAACCTACCAATGATGTCTGAGGTCAAGTTTTTAACCTTGAAGATAAACGCAAAGCGGCATCAGTTTGAAAATAGGTTGGTTGGCGGTTATCTCCGCCGATATTTCCAGTTGTTCAAAATAAGTAAGATAAGACTATCACGCTCAGTTAAGTCAGTCGGATTAAGTCATTTAAGTTAGTTCCTTCTATTACTTCTTCTAAATATGTTTCATCTGAAACTAACTAAGTTAATTGTGATAGGCATTTAAATGTAAACAAGACATATCAAAATATCGAAATTGTTTATTTCTTAGTTAATAGCATTATATATTATTTATCAAGCGCCTTTACGACAGGATACATAATCTTTAAATTTGTGATTTGCGCGGTTAAATTAGATTCCCCACTCCTCACATACATTTTTCTTGTTAATGCTCACTCCTTTAGCTCCAAGAGCATTTTTCACTGTCGTTTATATCGAAATTAAATTCAAAACAAAAAAAAAAACAAAACAACTATGAAATCTATTGCTTGTTGAGCTTGCTCTTGAGAATGCTCAGCTGGGTGAGACAATTGTCACGATAGTTGCGGCGGGCGGCGAGCTGATCCAGGGGCACCATCTCGCCCAGCTGTTTGGCCACGTCGACGGCCACAGGGCCCTCCATCTTGGGGATTGGTCCGAATGTCTTACTGACCTCAAAAATGGTGTTGGAGTAGCGCTCAAAATAATTGGCCATGCCCTCGGCATTGAGATGGGCCGTCTCCAGGGGGCCCAGGAAGGCGTAGCGCGGTCCCAGGCCGTTGCTCATCACACTGTCGATGTCCTTCACATTGAGGATGCCGGCCTCGACCAGGCGCCAGGTCTCGTTGAGAATGGCATACTGGATGCGGTTGAGAGCGAAGCCCTCAATCTCGCGGGACAGCGTAACTGGTTTCTGGCCAATCTCCTCCATTATGGCGCGCGTCTTCTTCACCCACTCCGGTTTGGTCCACGGTGCTGGCACGATCTCGACCAGGGGCACGTAGTACGGTGGGTTGACGGGATGCGAGACCAAAACCTGTTGTTCACAAAATCAAACGTAATTTGCTTTAATTGTTAGCTTCAAAAAAATAACGAAATCGAAAACAAACAAACCAGAATGCAGGTTATAATGGAACAAGTCTCGACCATGTGATACCCCTCTAATGCAAATCTAATTAATCTATATTATGTTATACTTTAAAAACTAGGTAACTGAGTGTGATCATTTCAAAACTATATAAATCAGTCAAATGTTTTCTGGAAGTATCGCAAACTGTCTCAGAAAAAACCGATTGAAAAGTAATATATATTTTACCCTTATATTATAGGTTTTAACTATTTACGTTAATATATAATTATATTTGAATTATATTAAAATTTCCTCTCCAAATATATTATCAAAATGATGGGTTTTCGAACAGCAAATCGATTTGACAAGAACGTTTATATGTACTAAATGCATACATATATCCTTGATTATATCTTAAGGTTCCACAAATGCTAATTAGTTATAAAAGGGGTTACCTTTCCATTGTCTATCAAAGAATCTAGTATACCTCCACTCTCTTAAATTGCAGATATGACTAAGTGCAATTGGAAATTGAGGACGAGGACGGATGACGCGAAGTAGATTGCATCAAGCGAGGTCGGAATAGTACACCAGGTGAATTTGAAGCACTTGCCGAGATCAAAATTATATACATATATGTATGAAGTTATAAACGCACTATATCTTTGTTTGTAAACCTAACAATTTAAACCTTGTGCTTCTAAATAAAATTATTTACTCGAAACAAAATTAAATAAAAAAGCTGTCTTTCTCAAAACAAATAAGAACCTCGAGTTATCTCTGGACAGATTTATGGGGGGTGCCTCCAAGTGGTTGTTATACTCACATTGGCCTTGTTCTTCAGGTCCGCGCTGAACAGGGAGGGTAGGAAGGTGCTGGTGGAGCTGGACAGAATGGTGTTGGGACCCACGACGGCGTCCAGTTGCTTGTACAGCGCCTTCTTCATGTCCAGACGCTCTGGAATGCACTCCTGGACAAATATGGCGCCCTTGACGAGCTCCTTAAGGTCATTGGTTCCCGAAATGCAGCTAAACTGCTGGGCAGCATTCAGCTTGCCGCGGAGCAGGCCCTGGGATTCGAGATCCTGCAGCTCCTTCTGGGTGGCGGTCAGAGCGGTGGACACCTGCTCGGGCAGGATGTCGTACAACACCACCTGGTAGCCCACCGAGGCGAACAGCATCGACCAGGAGCGGCCAATGAGTCCACTGGAATACAGAAACACACGAAATCGGTTTAGAGTCTCCGTTGTTGAAGGATTCATGGTCCCATTCTTACCTGCCAACGATGCCCACCTTCTCGGTCTTCTTCAGCTGCGACATGTCTGTGTGTTCGCGTTCGTTCACCTGTTTACCTGCTGCTGGGGGATCTGCGGAGCTGTCGACCACCAGTTGGGACGGCTTACATGCGTTTGAGCGATTTGACGGTAGCGCAACTGGTTTAATATTGGGCGCGATAACGCCCGCTCCGCCAGAGGTGAACCCGACCCCAGTGCCGCCGATGGTGTTGGAGATTTCCGAGCAGATAGGAGCACACTGCGGCGCTGCGATAATGTGGCTGCGGCGGCTGCTCTCCACGGAGCGCACCCCGTGAACACGCCCGCTAGGCAATCGGTCGCCGCCGGTTAGCCGGTGAGCCTGGTCCAGCTGCCACGCCCCCGTTCACGTCCCGAGATAAGATCTATTTATATCCACCTTGAGACGGTTGTTTGGCGCGGAAAGTTACCACGCAGACGGGACGCACATCAAAATCCGTTAGTGGCCCAAACAGAAAAATAATAATAAGACAACGAATTTCCTACCGGGGGGGCTGCGGAACAAACGGTGTCGAAACGGAATGCCCTTAATTTGACATTTATTATTAATGCCGTTTTATAATGTGTGCCAACCCGACCGACCACCAGTATCTTTGTGATTTGTTGAACACACACTTTATTTTTCTTGTCTGCTGTTGGCCGGACTGTCATCAAAAATGCTACCGTGAATTTTCCTTAGCCGATGGCCAATGGAATTTTTTCTTTCGTTCTTCGTTGACATAGAAAGCGTACCTAAATATGTATGCACGTTTGTATGTACATACGTGCATGGGTACATTATTTAAATGATGTGCAGTGCATAAAATGTACATACATGAATGAAATACTTAAGAATTATGTACATATATGTATGTACCATACTTGTACATATAACATACACATAAATGTAACATAAATATAAAACAAGGACTATAATATTACATCACTATTTACATATCTAACTATGCAAATTTATACATTGTGTAAACAATTGGTTGAATAATGCACTTGAGTAAGATACATACATATATACATAAATATACATACATATGTACCTAAATATATAAAAACATATCTCAATAAGATAATCTTATTTTTAAAATATTAAAAAACAAATAGTTTTGGCGAGTATTAAATACATACCATACACATACATAGCTTATAACATACATAAAAACATTCATAGTTTAAAATATAAAATTAAATTACAGTACACTCAGTAGATGAATTTAAAAGACTTGTATTTAAAAGCAGAAAACCACATTTACCACTTCTGCATGTAAACAAATTTTTCGAAATTTTGATTATATATTTTAAAATACATAATTTGAATACTTAATAAATTTCCAATGACTTATATTCATACATACATTCATGCATACATCATTTGTTTGCATTATCATATGTAAGAATTAAATTTTAAATAACGGTAAATGCTATATGTATGATTATATGTACATACATAAGTAAATTGTTCATTTTCTTACTTATTTCTGCAAATGCATAAGTACATAAACTTACATACATACATTCAAATGCAATTATGTATGCAAATGCATATGTACATTTGTAAGAATGTAACATCGAGTTGGTGACGTTTATTAAGTTTACTCTAAATTAATCTATAGATTTTTATAGTAATTCACCTGCATTCTTATTTACAAAAGTTTTCCGCTTGTTGATAAGGTTGCAGATTAGAATTTAGAGAGTACACCGACGCAGATAAAAGCTATTGAGAGTAAAGACCCCATGTGAATGCATACATACATACATACATATGTACATATATTGAACTATTTTTTAATATTTACATTAAGGGTTTTCCCAGTTGGAATTTATGGAAGGGAAACAAAAAGAGGCAAATGAGAAAAAACCTTGCAATTTTCTTATTGAACACTTGAAATAAAATAAACACTTTTCACTTTTATCGATGTAATCTAGTCTAGTTTACTATGTACATATTTATATAAAGAAATCTCCTGGCTCCACATTGGGGACCGGCCCTCAATGACTATGCACTTGAATGAAAAATCGGTCAAGTGGAATTATATTCAAAAATATAATTTATTAATTTTGTTCTATGGTGTTGTTGGTTTTTTATTTGTTTGGGATAATGGATAATGTCTTAATTAAAGTTAGCTAAGATGTTTGCTGCTTACAGTGCCATCTTGCGGCCCTCAATCGATATCTCCACGGCGCGGCGACTCTCCTTCAGACGCTTCGAGTCAAGGAAACGCTTCATGTGCTTCTCATAGCGGTTTGGCTTACGCTTAGTTGTCTGGAAATTGAAAAGAGAGTAACGCATAAATATGCAATGATAGGGCGTGGCGCAGGCAGGGGGAGGATGGAGCACTCACCTTGGAGATTTCACCCTCGACAGTTGACTTGGGGCGGATGACGTAGTCCTTGTTGGATGGCATAGGAACACGGGCGCGAGCCACCCAACCAGGATCACCAGGTCTAAGCGGCTTCTCTTCGCCGGATAAGGTCTGATTCAGGGACTGGGCATTGCTGCTAGAGGCTGGCTGTGGATCTGGGCTCTTATGGCGATGCCGCGACATCTGCGCCAAATCACGTTCCTGCCGCTCCTCCTTGCTCATCGCCGAGAAGTTGCAGCTGAGGTTGAATATGGGGCGTGCCCATTCGGAAATCAAGCGGCCGGCACGATCCCGATTCTGCTTGGTCTCCTGTGGATGTTTATACAAGTACATAACAGCCTTGCCAATGCCAGACTGTTTCAATGAATCCTTTTCAATGGTTGGAAACTGTAAACCAGAGCGAGAGAATAATACAATCATTACAACAATCAATTAAGTCGCAGCTTATTCCCATGGGGACATACTCACATCTGACAAGAGCTTGAGAATACTTTCGCGTATCTGAAGACAGGGCAGACTTTTATTTGGCAGCGGCGCAAGCCAGTCGGTTAGGACATTGAGTATATTGTGCTCCAAGAAAGCATTCTGCAGATCCTTCTTGATCAGCTGCGACATCACTTGCTTTAGCATGGCAATCTTCTTGGTGGCCGGCTTTCCCATCACGTTCAACTGCCGGTCGTCGTCCGAGGCGTTCTTCATATTCACGATAAGCTGATCAATCAGATCGTCCATATCGTTGATTATATCAATATCTCCCTTGCGGCGGCGCCGTACGCGCTTCTCCTCCTTCTTCAGCAGCATCATTTTGTCAAAGTCCGAAATAAAGTTGCTATTGCTACGCAAAGGAAAATATTAGTTAATAGAACTATTGTGGATAGTGGAAGAACTTACTCAGGCTCGTTTGAAATCGGTGTGTTCTCATCATCAGAACTCTCTGCTGCCTTCTCTGGGGACTTGTTCCGTTCCTCCTCCTCTTCGTTATCTGTGTCCGTGATTTTCACTCGCTTCTTCTGCACCTTTGGCGCTTCGTCTGCAGAAAGGTATATCAGTAAAGTAAATAAAGTAAAAGTTCTACATGTAGTTGATAGTAATACCCACCTTCAGAGTCACTGATGGCCAAACGTTTGCGTCTGGCGGCCCCACCCTCCTTGGATCCAGCACTGCCCGAGCGTGAGCGGTCATCGCGATGGCGCGTGCCAGCACTGTTGGATCGACTTCTAGAGCGCCTGGAACCGCTACGTGAACGCGCTGATCCGCTACGTGAGCGCCTGGAGCCGCTTCGAGAGCGACGGGAGCCACTTCGAGAACGACGGGAGCCACTTCGAGAACGACGGGAGCCACTGCGGGAGCGCCTCGAACCACTACGTGAGCGCCTGGACCCAGATCCACTGCGTGAGCGTCTGGAGCCACTGCGGGAGCGCGCTGACCCGCTACGAGATCGTCTAGAACCGCTGCGTGAGCGCCTGGAGCCACTGCGGGAACGCCCAGACCCAGATCCGCTGCGGGAACGATTGGACCCACTGCGGGAACGCCTAGAGCCGCTACGAGAGCGCCTGGAACCACTGCGTGAACGTCTGGAGCCGCTGCGAGAACGCCTAGATCCGGATCCGCTGCGAGAACGATTAGATCCACTACGGGAGCGCCTGGAGCCACTGCGAGAACGTCTGGAACCGCTACGGGAGCGCCTGGAGCCACTGCGAGAACGTCTGGAACCGCTACGGGAGCGTCTGGAGCCGCTGCGAGACCGCCTAGATCCAGATCCGCTGCGGGAACGATTAGACCCACTGCGAGAGCGTCGGGACCCACTACGGGAACGTCTAGAACCGCTGCGCGAACGTCGAGATGCATTGGAGTTTCGAGAGCCACTTCGAGAACGCGCAGAGCCACTGCGCGAGCGCCTGGATCCACTGGCCGATCGGCTGCGGGACCTGGAGCGAGAGCGACTGTGACGGGAGCCGCTTCGTGAGCGCGCCGGCTCGCTTCCATTCCTACTGTGACTACGACTTCTGGAACGTGAGGCACGAGCATCACCACCTGCACCACCATCTCCATCTTCTTGTGGCTCGTTGGTGGGTGGTGATTGGCTCTGGCTACGCGCATTCAATACTGACTCTGAACATGTCGAATCTGGTTCGGGAGCATCCGATGACCTGGCATCCGGGTCAGTTGACCTGGGTGCCGGGGGTATGACCATTTCGAGAGCTATTTCGGTTGCATCGCGAGAGTTACCGGCGTCATCGCTGCTACTTATTTCTGGAAAATAAAATAGTGTTATGGCGGCACCGAACGGGAAATACATTTTGCAACCAACCTTGATCCATGCATGCTTCCATGCCGTCCGCGTAGGATAAGAATATAACAAAAAAGAAACACCGCTAATATCTCAACTTGGCTTTGGCCGTTATTTTGCAATGATTTGTCAAACTATTTGTACGAAAAATATGAAACAAAAAAAGTACGACGCCTCGGCATTTATGATGACCGACGGAACGAATTGAAAGTGGAACGGCAACATTTAATTGTACACACATACACTTGCCTGCACGTTGCTTAAGGCCGTTACACACGTTAGGGATGTTACAAAATTGTTATAATCGATTAGTTCGCGAAATGCATTTTGGGAACTAGTCATTACAATGATTTATCTAAAATATTATTAGAAAAATAAGTAATTTACGTTGCATGAAATATTTACATTTAATTTGTAATTGCATATGATTTTCTGTTTAAATATTTTAAGAGGGGTCCGGAAACTGTAAGACCTGTAAATAATCAATTAACTATTTATACATTTTTAGTAATCATAAACCATTTTCCGACACTCCATTTATCGCAAAAAGATTGAGTTTTTAAGAAGCTAAATTTATATATAAAGAAAATGGATTGAGCGAAAATATTGAATGAGTTTATTTGTGATCAAATGTCTCTTTTTTTATTTTAGCAAATTGTTCTTAAAAATTATGATAATCTGATTCAGATTTCTGGGACCAAAAAGAATTGATTTTAAAAGTGAACTGCGTGAAACTCGAATTGCTGGTAATTATACTTAGTAATTATATTAGTATACAAATTTTAAATTTATGTAAGAGTATCCTAGTACCTTAAGGTTTGAAACTGTGGAAATTAAACCAATTCCTACATTACTTTAAACTTGATATTTGTTTAAATAATATATGTTTAATACTTTAAGTTAAGTAAATTCTATTTTGTATAATTATCAAATATAGTACATTTACACAATTCCATATTTAAGAGAATTATCATAACTTTTTGAAAAGTGTTAATGCGGCGTTTCCATTAAAGCCTTCGCTTACATCTTCTAATGAAAATATCGTCTCTTTTCATGCAAGGCTCCTATTATTAAAAATCTGCATCCAACTGTATATGCATCTGTATGAATATTTAAATTTGGTTTACAGATTAAAAAATTGCGAAATTGCTAAATTGCTAAATGCATCCCCAGTAGGAACGGGGCGTGTTCCATTTTCGCGAACTATCGAATGCATCGATGATAAACATGACTAAATGGATATTGTATGATAAAAAAAAAAAATTGGCAATCACAACTGCGGTATCTACAAGTGATTAGTAACTAATTTAATTAATTTTTTCACTTGTTGATTATGTTTGCTGTATAAAATTTAACCGTCTAATAATGATGGATATTTAATCAGAAGAGCGGATTAAGTAAAGTTCTTGAGTAAACCCAGATTACAGTCCTGATATTAAAGGATCGAAAGGGAGAAATAATACTCACCTCAAAATGAACTGGACACTTTTATCACAAGCAACTGGCGTCCTGCTCGTCCTTAGCAGTATTAGGGTGCACGCCCAGCTAGACCTGGATCAAATCCAGACCCAACTTCCAGAGCAGCTTGTCAAGTCGAACCTCAGCTATGCCGATGTCAAAGATTCGATCCGCAATAAATGCATTCAGGTGGCTGGCGAGGAGGCGGGCAGTCAAGCCTTTACCGAGATCGAGACTGGCTTCGGGCTCCTCACCGAGTGTGCGAATAACCTTGTAAACTACACGGCCATGCAGCAGGAGATCCAGGAGGCGAGTCCTAAGGGCGAGCTCGATGTGGTCTTCAATAAGTACTGCACGAGGCGGTCGGAGGCAGTGGAGTGTTTTGATCAGTTCACGGCGAAGCTCTCGCCCTGCCTGGTCAAGGACGAGCAGGAGGGCCAGGAGGTGATTAAGCGCATCATCCAGAGCTTACTCAACTTCGTTTGCCACAAGGACGGCGACCAAATAGCCCTCTTCATTGCCGAAAAGGGCCCCGAGTGTCTCGCCTCGCAAAAGGAGAATATCGAGCAGTGCGTGAACAATACCTTTGGGTCGTACCTGAACTTCTCCGGCGGATTGCAGGACAATCAGATTAAATCGATACCCATGTTGACAGTCGGCCAGAAGGAGTGCGACGACATGCTGGATCTGCAGGCGTGCGTGGTCAGCAAACTGGAGCAGTGCACTGACATAACGCCGGCTAATCTCGTCGAGTCCATGTTCAACTTTATCAGGAATCAAACACTGTGCCGAAATTACCAGAAATCGCCTCTGGTCGCAGCTGCTCCCAGCGGTGGCCATGGACTGCAATCGAACGCTGTAAATGTGTTATATTTAGTGGTATACTTGCTTATCGCAATGATTTTTTCTCTCCAAAAATCTCCTTAGTTTTAAGATGGAACAGTGAAAGCTTGATCGAATCAAATATTATTACCTCGAATCTCTGAAAATGTAAAAGCTTAGCTTAAGCAAAAAAAGTGCAGAATGGCAATCATTATTTTTCAATGAATAGAATTAGTATTCTCAATTATTTCCGGCGCGACAGTTTATAAACTCTCTTCTTCTGGCTTGCAGTGCAGGCTTTGATTAGTTTTAATTGGCAAATTATAAGACACGCGATATACTTTTCGATTCCTTCGGTTTAAAGGGTTGTTGTTCTGGTTTGAGTACACCTAGGCAGAATGAATGCACGCTAAATACTCTATATACATATATTATACAAGAATTGTAAATGAGAATCTGTTTTCTATAGGGATATACATAAGTATCACTGATGTAAAAATAAAGGGAATATTTGCTATTACGAACAAATGAAAACATGGATATTTTAATGGGAGAGTTATTACAGGCAAAATAGAGGATTAATAAATTAACCACAAAATATAAGCATTTAAACCTTATGTTTTTATAATCAATCAGCTAAAAACAGCTTTTCCCATAAAAATGCACTCATTTAACTGCTAAAAATTAAAGTGTTAAACAAAAAGGTTTGTATACAATAAATAAAAATTAAACAGTTTGAAGTAATTGACGATAATTGTGAAATTATTTATAGCTTTGTTTAAAAATGTAGCTTCCAATTTTAGATTAATAGATTTCTGTTACATTTTTTGCGTTATTAAATAGTTAATTAAATAAATAAGCATTGATTATTAATTACCGGTTATATAGTTCTGCTGAACACGATCGTTAAATCGCATAATTAATACTTAAACTATTTGTATATAACAATTTAATCTATAACTAATGCCCATAATGCATTAGAACCTTTTTCAACTCTATCGATAGTGCTCTCAAAGAACGATCGATGCCTATCGATAAGTGTAAATATTTTGAGCTGCGCTACAGCAGTGTAAATCATCACCAATTATATTGCAAATATGTAGATGTGGGAACTCCCTAATCTTCGGGATTTCAGTTCGCCAGGCGTCACAATGATGATCGCCACCGAAGTGCGGGGGAACGTGGAAGTGGACGGCAGCACGGTGATGGAGCCGATCTCCACAGCAACTTTGGTGCTAACCGGAGCCTCGATCGTTTGGCGATTCATTTCCATCTTTATCAACTGGAGCCTGGCCTACGAATATTGGATGGACGAGACATATGCCTATTGCGCCTGGACAGTGGGATCGATTCTGGTGCCCATGGTTGTCACATCCGCTATCTACATTCACATGTAAAAAGCTAGAATCAAAAAACCACAAATATAGATTAAAATTTTATTGATTTTGCAGTCTGATTGCCAGCCACTCTGGTCAAAAACGCATCACGGGTCGGGGAGTGTATACCAATGCGGCCATTTCGTACCTGTTCCGGGATGCTTACGCCCTCAACTATGCTCTGGAGTATACCAGGGCCAAGGAGCGTGATGACAAACCCTCCGAAATCAGGTGAGTGCAATGCCAATGGAAGTGAATCCCGCTGGCCATGCATTTCCATATCTGTCATTTTGAGTTTCACTCGGTTTTTTTTGTTTTTCGCTTTCAGATATTATCAAAAACTCATGACGGAGGAATGCAATGTGGGCTTTGTTCGGCTCTTTGATTCGTTTTTGGAATCTGCACCACAGAAAGTGTTGCAGCTCGTGATAGTGCTGCGATCGGCCAAGGAATTGACATGTAATTTTTATAAACTAATCGAAATTTAATTAATTGCACATTTAGTGGTTCTCTTTATTACAGATTATCGCCTGTTTGCATTCATTGTGTACTTTGGGAGCATTGCGTGGTGCATTCAGGCCTACAATCGCTCCAACCGCCTCGTCCAGCTGGACAAGCACGACATTGCGGCCCGGGGACGCTTCATCCAGTTCATTTTCCTGTTGTGCTTTACAGGTGCGTCGTAGTCACTCTTGGGTATATATAGTATATATATGTATATGTATTTGTAGTATCCCGAACGATCTGCATCGCTTATATGGCCAGCGTATTTCCCTTGGAAACCGTAGCTTTCTGCGCTGTCCACGCCTGCTTGTGCGGCTCTGTTGTATTTGTGGTGGACTCGCCAACGATTGCCATGTCCCGCTTTATTAACTACCTGTACTGCCTGTGCTTCGGCGTAGTCTATTTGTTTATTTATACACCCCTAAAGGATGGTCCCACCAAGTACAAGTATGCCATTTACCTAACGTTTTGTCTTTTGCAAAACGTCATTGCCTGTGTTCTGTATATTCCCCTCTATGTTGCAATAGCCATAACTGCCTTGTATATTGTCGGAATTGTGCTCTTAATATTCTACTATTCAAGTTGCCATCCTAGTATTGTGCCAACGTATTTGTAACATTCTTTTTAGCGTAGTTGATATGTATTAATTTTATACTTAATCCAAAGTGGCAATTTAAATAATTAAGGTGCTTTGAATGTGTTTAATCATTCCTCCAGATGTACTCAGATATTTTTTATTATAAATTTAAAGCCAATAAAGAATACTTTTTTGTAGACTAATATTGGTATCTCGTAAAAAGATTTTTAGATCGCATGCGACTTTCTTACTTTCACTTGCTTACCAGGTGGCAACGCCAGCAACATTTCACCATTTCGATTTTTTTCGTATATCATGAAACAGAGCGAAAGGATCACAAACTTTAAGGTGCATATGGCCTTCTCGCTTTAACTCATGGTTAGCAAAGAAACCCTTTATCAGTGTTTCTCTTTTCTTATCTCCCACGAAACAGAGCGAAAGGATCACAAGCTTTTAGGTATAGCCTTCTCGCTCTTACTCATGGTTAGCAAAGAAACCCTTCATCATTTTTGTTTCTCTAAGCATACATATGTGCATACATTCATACATATGTAGATAAAAACTTTGTTGTGATGCACAGTGTTCAGTTTACACAGAAAACAAAAATTATATTGCGATCATTTTGAGAGGTTATGCTATTTTTCAAAATAAAATTTTAAATAATGATAATATAATAATATAATATGATAATTCAAATAAATAAAATTGACTTGAAAATGCGCGCATTATACATAGTTTGTTATCTTTTAATTTTAAAGTCGTTCGATACTACTTGTTTCGTCTTATAATTACTTAATTTTATTTTGAGGCATTTATTACCTGTTCTGCTATTATGTTCTAGGGAATGAAACATAATTTTTCCTTTAAAAAAGCTCCCCCAAGTCAAAAATAAATTTATAATAGCTCTATTTCATACCTACATACCATACATATGTACATATGCATACATACAGCTACCAATGATGTACGCTTGCGCAGATCAAGCTGCAAAAATGGCCAAGAGCGTCGCTGGAACCAGTTTCGGGCCCAATTACGAGGCTCACGCAGCCGGAGCCGAACTGGTTCGCGGAGCCAGCTCTAGTTTCTTTTGGCCAAGCTCAGCTCAATATTAATGCACAGTTCGTTAACTTTCACTTCGGCCACAACAATCAGCAGCAGGATCCAATTGGATTCGGTATAGGGATCGGGATAGGGATACAAGATCGGGAGTTATGTGAACAGCGACGTGACCATAATGGCAACCAAGTACGAGCGCATTTTGAGTGACTGCAGGGCGAAGAGTATACTCTGGGAAGACCCCGATTTCCCCGCAGTTCAGTCATCCGTCTTCTACTACCAGACGCCCCCTTTCACCTTCCAATGGAAGCGGATCGCGGAGCTGAGCACCGCCCAAAGCCAGGCACAGACAACGGCGTCCAGTCCGGCTGTATTCCTCAACGAGACCGCCGAGTTCGATGTGGTGCCCGGTAAGATGGGTGATCGCTGGCTGGTCTCCTGCCTGGGCGTGCTCTGTTCGCTGCGCAATCTCTTCTATCGCGTGGTGCCCGCCGATCAGAGCCTGGCCAAGGCCCAGGGCGTCTTTCGTTTCCGCCTGTGGTGGTGCGGCGAATGGGTGGAGGTGCTTGTGGACGATCGCCTGCCCACCATCAACGGGCGACTGGCCTTTATGCAGCCGCAGGCCTCAAACTGTTTCTGGGCCGCACTGCTGGAGAAGGCCATTGCCAAGCTGCACGGCTCCTACGAGGCCCTCAAGTACGGCACACGTTCCGACGGCCTGACCGATCTCCTCGGCGGCGTCGTTCGCTGCATGCCCATTGACCCGGACACCCTGCGGCCGCAGACGCTCAAGGATCAGCTGGCCACCACATGCATTGTCACCTGCCTGGCGGTCAAGAGTGCCGCCTCGGTGGCAAAGAAGAACATTGCCGAGCGTTTGTCCAACGGAATAATGGTTACGGTTAACTACAGGTAAGTCCTAAAAAACATTTAAAGCTTCCTTGACATTGCCTCCTAAACCTTTTCACTCTCTCTTTAGACTTTCCGGCTTGGACAAGGTGGAGACATTGATGGGAGATTCGGTGCAATTGGTCTGCGTGAGGGACACATTCTCGAGCAAACCCTTTGGCGACAAGACGCACTTCACCGGCGACTGGTCACCGCTGTCCAAGACATGGGAGCGAGTATCCTCCGCGGAGCGTGCGCGTCTGGTCAGCCAGCTGGCGCCGGGAGAGTTCTGGATGTCGTTCTGTGACTTCGTGCAGGTCTTTACCACACTGGAGGTGGTATACCTGGATACGGATACGGCCAACGACGAGGAAATGCTCAAAAATCGACCGAAACACTGGAAGATGAAAATGTATCAGGGCCAATGGAAGCGGGGTGTTACGGCCGGCGGATGTCGCAACCATGAATCCTTCCATATCAATCCACAGCTGCTGATCTCCGTGCAGGAGCGGCAAGAAGTGGTGGTGGCTCTCAATCAGCACACAGCCGTGGAGCCCAAGGTGATCGGGTTCACGATGTACACGTGGGACCGTGACTACGGACTCACCGAATGCCTGCAAAAGGACTTCTTTAAGAACCACGTTAGCTTTCTCAACTCGGACTATGGCAATACGCGTCACGTCAGCTACCACACGCAACTGGAGGCGGGCCATTATGTACTCATACCGACCACGTACGAGCCGGCGGAGGAGGCACACTTCACCGTCCGCATTCTGGGCACGGCCATCTTCCGGCTCTCATGCCTGGAGACCCAGACGATGATCCTGCTGGAGCCATTCCCGGCGCTCAAGAGCGAGGACGACCGGAGCGGTGGGACCAAGGTGAAGAGCGTCTGCCAGTATGAGCCCGTGTACATGCAGCTGGCCGATGAGAACAAGACCATCAATTGCTTCGAGCTGCACGAACTGCTGGAGGCCTGCCTGCCCAATGACTACATCAAGGGCTGTGCGAACATCGACATTTGCCGTCAGGTAATTGCCCTGCAGGACAAGACCGGCAGCGGGCGCATCACCTTCCAACAGTTCAAGACCTTCATGGTGAACCTCAAGTCCTGGCAGGGCGTCTTCAAGATGTATACCAAGGAGAAGGCCGGGATTCTGCGTGCGGAGCGTCTGCGCGACGCTCTCTGTGACATTGGCTTTCAGCTTAGCACGGACATCATGAACTGCCTGATCCAGCGATATATCCGCAAGGACGGCACCCTGCGCCTCAGCGACTTTGTGTCGGCCGTCATTCATCTGACCATTGCCTTTAATCAGTTCCATTTGAAGAACTACAGCCAGGTGAATGTCATAGAGGTGCATCTGCATGACTGGATCAAAAGCATACTCAGCTGCTAATGGTACTCTGTCTGATTTCGCTTAAATTTTTGGATTGTTTTTGGATTGATATTATTCAATGGTATTTGAAATTCATTTGAAAGTGAAGAAACTATTTAAATTATTTTAAAATTATCTGTTTTAAGTTTAAAATCCCAGAAGCTCTTTTGACTGTCTGTCTGTTCTGGAAATCGAAATTGATGCCAACCTTTGCCTTAAAAGTAAACTTTTCAACTTGAGATTTTAGGATATGACTTTGATTTAATTCATTATTGATTCTTGATTTTGTTTCCATCAAATTTAAGCGAAATCTGATTCCAAAATTAGCGGCTTTAGCAGAGATGTATAGTTATAGTGTAGTACTACTGAGAATTTTATTTTTTATTTGTTCTTATGCCTACTATTAAACGAGCGCTAAAGGCGAGACGTGTTCAGAGTATTTACCAAAATGTTCGTTTTAATTATACAACATGCTACCAATGACAATATAAAGCATAAGATACAAAGAGAGTTATCTTTTGGTCTCCCGCTCTCTCTGGCTTCAAGAGAGGAAGCCAAAGATCACTGCCTTTGTCGGCTTTCTCTCGCTCTCCATCAAGTTGATCAGTTAATTCAATATGGCGTTACCTATCTTATTCTTTATATTAGAAGGTATGTATGTCTGGTAACTCCCAGTAGGTCAAATACAGCGGAATCGAATTGCGCGGCTAGTTGAGATTATCTGACGTATAGTTTTTAGTTAATGTACGGTACGAACGTAGGAGTGTACAAGCAAGTCAATGGCGATGCGAGTATTATGTGTGCACTATATATAGTGCACTATTCTTAATCAACATACATAGTTGTGGCCTGTGCGTGGGCCCCCCACACCGACTTAAAATAGAGTCTAAAGTATAAAAAAAGAACAAAACCAAATGATAATTATATATAATTGTATAAATACTGCAATCTGTAGTTAGTTATGGACGACGACTAGGCCCGGACCCTGCCTCCAAGTGTAATTTACAAGACGCCACTCTGAGCGGTCCCTCGGTTCCCACATTACATCGAGGTGCCATTGTGCGAGGAGGCGTCGCTGATGCGGCGGGAGAGCGTCGTCTTGCGGCTAATGGACATGGAGTTGCCATTCTGGTTCGAGGAGAGACCAGAGCCGCCGCCAGCACCACCATTGGAGTTGTAGGTTGAGCCAGCACCGGTCGGGGTCCCATTCGCCGAGTCCAAGGTTCGCATCGGTGATCGCTTCAGGGAGCCAGTGACCTCGTGGGGCTCTTGATAGCCGGAGTCCATATCATCGTGGTACGAGTCCATCAACGGTGTAGGGTCCTCATAGTCATAGTCGACAAAACCATTATTGTCGAAAGACTGCAAATGAAATATAAAGAAAATTAAATAATGTCTGACTCTCGCTATACAACTGAAAAAAAAGGTTTCATAATTCTTAAAATTAGAACTCTTAATTGAACATTATTTTAGGTCTTATTAGTCACTTCGAAACTAGAACTTAAAGTGCTTGCAGAATCGATAAAAAATATTTTCTCAATCTTATTTCCAGGCTTTACCTTCAATGTACAAGCAGAAGCGGAGGAAAAAGTTTTTAAGCTTAAGAGTGAGAGAGCATTTTTAGCTCTTTTGAGGATGTGAACTTTTAGGAAGGATTACTTGACTAAATGTGAAGACCTTTTATCTTTTTCCCGCTACCATGCTTTACCTGTAGTGTACAAGCAGTAGTGAACAAAAGAGAGTTTATTTAGCTTTGTGTGAGTTGTTGCCTTCTTGAAGCTGCTTGATTTCTCGCTTTGCCTGCAGCGTACTAGCAAAAAAAAAAAGAGAGTTTCTGCTTTCAATCCTGCTTACCTTGACAAAAGACTGCGAATGCTTTGCATAGCCACGGAACACCTGGCTGTGGGACTTGCCGCGATAGTCCACCGACTCGTAGTGCCCATCCTGCGAGTTCTCGATGATAAAGTGTCGGGTGCCATGGGGCGTCAGGGTGGCCCAGAGCAAACGGCTGTCGTTGACCAGCTGGCTCTGCAGCAAATCCCGGCTATTGGCCGTGGCGCAGGGATAAAGGATGCCGCCGGAGGTAAAGGCATTGGACTTGGTGGCCTCACCCAAGGCGCTGATGGCTGTCTGTTTTATGTTGGCGTCCTGGTACGAGAAGAAGGAGCTGCAGGCGAAACCGATTAGTGAGGGAACAAGGAGACACCTCACATACTTACTCCCTGCATCGGATGACGATGAGGGCCAGGAAGCAGCCGAGCACAAAGATCCCGATGCACGAGGAGATAAACAGCCAGACATTCTCCAGGCTCTTGGAGTCGCTACGCACCAGCTCCATAAGGGCGTTGCCGCTCTCATTGTGCTGCTGCCCCTGGCCACACATGAAGGCGGCGAAGCATGGCTGCGACTCATTGGAGGGCACCAGGGCCTCCACTGTTGCCGGCTTGGAGATAAGGAACGATGGCAGCGGCGGCGGCGGCATCGACAGGATAAAGTCCGGTGGCGGGCCGGCCAATTGATCGCAGCTGCCCACACAGTTTCCGAGCAGTATGTTCATTCTAAAAGCTGAAAAAAAATAAATTAGATGAAATATGGAATCCAGGTATTCCTGCTGACCATTGGGATGAGGTGTATGTGCCACCTGAGGTGCTACTAATCAATAGACTCGTACGCGGACTCTGGATTCATGTGTATCTGTGTGTTACTCCGCGATTCACAACATTGCCTTTTGGGGGTGGATTTTGCACTACTCCTAGCCACAATTGCTACTCCTTTATTCTATTATTTGTTTTAAGTTCGTTGTGAATTAATTCCCTTAATGTATACTAACATTTAGACTTATTTTTAAATAATTAATAATTGAATCCCTTACAAGGATATGGGAAATTCCCATGCTCGAGGGAACCAAGAATATACAAAGGCAAACAATACACAATGTCTCTCTGAAAATTCCCCTACATTCTGGACTTAACTGCTGCTAGAAAAGATCTGATTTTCGAATATATATCCCCAAAAAGTAGATTAGTTAAGAATACTAACTTAAACCGTACATTAAATAACAAATTAACAACAATTTCAAACCTTTCAACACAATGCCTGACTCCTATGTGTTTAAGAATATGTCCTATGCCTCGAACTGAGTGACAGAAACTATTATCCCGAAATCCATGGACTTCCCCCCGCCGACAAAAACATGACGAGGTGCGCGCGCATCTCCCCCAGAGGCGGATACATGGTAACATTGAAAGTAACCAGCTATCGGTAACCAGTACACGGATGCAGTACACCCCTCCGAGTCTCTTTGGCCACACCCAGGTGTGGGTGGGTCATCTGTATGTGCGTGTTTACAAAACAGTTCCCAAAAAATAATGTTCAGGGGTGCCACAGGAATCGTTTGGAGATTCGAAATGAATTTTAATTAAGGCCAAAGGTGTGCTAAAAAATTTGAATTGTTGGAGGCGAAGAATATAGGAACATACTCTTGGGTTTCATTGGTATATTCTCAAGATTATCTCATTCACAATTATATCTTTTATTCAAAGTTATTCAATAAACCAAAACATTCTAAAAATCCCAATGCAACAACTAAATTCAAAACCCTTTAAAAATGAATTACAAAAATGCTACATGGTATTATATCGTAATACAAGCAAAAAAGGAATCAAATTTTGCAAAAACCGATGTTTGAATACCTTTGAAAATAATAATCGAAGAATTTGACATCTTGAAAATTTTATTTCATGCTTTTTTTAAGGATTTCAATACTATAGTGCTTTCTATAGCATCCGTATAAGTGTGAAGTTTTAAACAAAAAAAATTATACATTTTTATATCATATTCCTACTACTTTTGATTTGTTTTTATGGTAGATATATATGATATAGTTATTGGATTTTAATAAAAACTAAACCGTAGTTCTAAAACCATTAAAAGTGGTCATACCACAGATCCAAAATATTGACAAACAACAAAACTTATCGGAAAATAACATTATTAACCGCTAATTATAACTTTGAAAAGGGTTTTAAAATACATTTTTTGTATTTACAATTTTTCAAAATCAGTAAGATTTTTAAATACTCCAAGTCAGATTATTGTTAAGGCATTCAATAAAATAACAACTATTAAATATAAACAAATATTACAAATATCGGACCGAATGTAGTGTCAAGTGTTTTATATGTATATATAATTTATTAGGAAACGTTCACGTTTTTTTATTCATTTATCTAACATGTAAAAGTCATTAGCCTTAGCTTTGAGACATCCATATTAATATTAGTTTATTTTTGTACACTACCGTTCTTGGGTAAATAATTTAAAGTTAACCCCAAGCAATATCACATTTCGGGTCAATTTCAAGTGCCGGGCGACTGGCGACAACAAGTTAGTTAGGAGTTACTTCTTGTCGGTGTAGGTCATCACGACGCCGACTATCAGTGCCATGACGGTGAAGCCCTGGGCCGCGATCCTGGTGCGCATCATCAGCTGTGACATCTTGCGATTCCCGGTCCGGAAGTTATACAGACCCATGGACAGGGCGGCGGTGGTGGCCAAGCATCCTGAATGGGATTCATTCATTAAGTTCATCCATTAGTTTTGTTTTCATTTTACGTAACCCGGGCTGGCGGCGGCTGTGCCGGATCGCCGGGCGACCAAACTCACCCAACGGAACGAGAGGGTTCTCCTTAATCTTGCGCTGCAGCTTCTCCTTGGTGGTTTCCACCTCCACAACGGGTCCCAGGTCCTGGCGCAACTGGATCCAATCCAGCTCCTCCTCGGGAAGGTTTATTGGGATTTTGTTCGACATTATTTTCGTTTTGTGATGTTTCGCAACAGTGTGGCCAGTTTAGTTTATTGGCTATATCTATCATATTTGAAAATGGAAAAGCTATAGCTATAAAAATAGCTTATTTTAATATTCATCTGTCATGGTGAAATCAAAACATAAACGATTTTGTATATGTTTACAATGTGTGTTTCAATATCAATCATCTTTCCGTTTTATTGTCTTGTCCATAAAAAATATAAAGAAAGCTGTTATAATGATCGACCCCAATATATCGTTAATTTTGTATAAGAGACTGTAAATCGTTATATTTTTTGTCTATCCCACTAAAAATGAGGAATTTCTATAGAAAAACAAAAGGATTAACGTTTTTATTTGCGTTTTCCTTCCTCGAAAACATATTGATAGTTATACTGTTATAAGCTGTAATACAAATTGTGATGAATTTGTGAAAAACAAAGCAGTCTCAGCTATAATCTGTTATAAATTGGTTGAAAATTCGGATAAAAATGTGGCAGCACTGGCTCATCATCGTCTCTCTAAGCTTTCTTTAACATTATTCAATGTTTTTCCTGCAAAAAAATACATTTTTCTGTTCGGCCTGAATACTGTCCACCCTGCTTAATATCTTTTATACACAAAAAAGTTAGGGATAGAGCGTAAAATTATTAAAAATCCCGCCTTTCCTAGCGCAGTCAGGCAACGCCAGTGTTGTTGTTGGATTTTTTCTGACCTCACTAACACACCCATACATTGCTGCATTATTTTAACGCTATTCCTCTCTTTCCAAAATGAGAGAGAGCGAGAGAGAAAAGAGAGCGTGCTGGGAAGTACAGTCAGACGGGAACACAAAATGAAACATGTGTATGTAGCAGTTGCTTCTATGTGTGTGTCGCCATACGTACATAAGTCGGGTATGTATCAATGTGGTTGTATTAATGCACGTCGTATGCCTGTAAATGATTTTTAGAATTCGTATAGCATGCGTACATACAAAAGGTATGTACATATGGATGTAGGCAGGGCGCAAACATATGTACATAAAATCGTTAAAACACATGCTTTAAGCGTACATACATTTCCGCTTCCCTTTCAGCTTACTGCCGAAATAAAGACAAGAATACATATTTTACGACGCATATTTCATGGGTTTTACATCTGTTTGATTGTCATAAACACAAAATTCGATATTTCTATACACCACCAAGAATGTACGTTTGACGCTGTGCCATAATAGGGCGGGTGTGAAGCGCTTATGTACATACTTTTATGTACATATGTATGTATGTACATACATCTGCACGAAAGTAACAAGCCAAAAATTGTATAAGGCCTGTTTCCCTCCACCACGTGTATGTACATATGTTTGGTATACGCTGAGAGAGCCAGCGAGAGCGGTCTGCCCAGTAAACTGTACTCAGGGCTCGGCAACCATCCCGCCCCAACCCCCGGCAGACCTATCACTATTGGTCGCTCTCACGCTCGCCTCTCGCAGTTACTCACGAAAGGCGTCCATAAACAACCGCCCGCTCTCGCGCTCGCTCTCTCTCGCACACACACACGCACACAGTTGCGCATTCAACGCATACAGAAGTTTGGCTAGCTGGGGTTATGAAGCACAGTAAGGCAGAGACGGCAATTCAATTCAATAGCCTTTGCATTCGTTGTTGGTACTCTCTGTGTGTGTTTTCAATCAGGCGAGCGGCGCGCGTACGAACCTCATCTTTTCCGCATTGATACCAACAAAACACAGCGATACGCTACTACAATAAAGCAGCGTATGCAGCGCTGTTTGTTTATTTTTTACTAACTAAAAGCAAACGGCAAAACAAACCAAATAAGTCGCCGCGTTTCGCGTTGATTTCGCTGCAAAACTACACACACACGCGTTACATTGGCGTTGTTTCGTAGAGTTCCGTGCGTCGTTGTGTCGTCGTTAGAATCGATGAATTTTCAATTTGAAAGTTTTTTTTTTAATTTTTGAATTGACGTGTGCTCTGGTCCGTGTGTAAATATACATACGTACATACGTGCAATAATCAATACAACCAACAAAACCATCAACTAGCAACGTACAGCGTACAGCGTACATCCTACATCGTACATCGTACAACAAACGGCGCAGAACAGTTTTTACTGGCTTGAGACTCCGCTTCCATAGCCATTGACATAGTGCTTGCGTTTGTGTGTGTGCGTGTAGTGCAAGAAGTGGAAAGACGTGGAGAAGAGAAGACGAGGAGTAGCCGCTAGTATAGTAACTATTCTTCGAAAGAGACACCGTGTAGTACACCGAAAAATAATCAAGTAATACACCAATCCGCAATCGAACAGTCGGAGCAGATCCGATCCGATCGCTCACAGTTATGGAGCACTTTCATCAAATACAGGTAAGCTTGTGTGCAGGTATACGTTGCTGCTTTGCGCCCCAACACACTCACACACTCCCAATCGCACCCACACTCGCGCGCTCACAGATCATATTCGCATATATTCATTTCTGTTGTATTTGCATTTGTATGCGTTGCCCACGGTTGCCGCGCCACCAGCGTTTCTTCCCAGTTAATCATTTTCCCGCCAAAGCCAAAATATAATTAACAATGCTCAGAGGCAGTGGCACTGGGGGGCAAATGTAGCCTTAAGCCTTTCTACGGGATGCTCTCCGTCGCCGACACCTGATGTTCGCTCCTTTGTTTCGATGGAAAGTTTTTGAGTTTGCCTGTTCGCATAGCCGTTAACATGATGTATACACAAATACATACATACATACAGGCAGCCATACATACATATGTATGTATGTACATATGTTTTAACGTATTTTCTTCGTTTTGCTTTGTTTTATGTAAAAAGTAAGCAATGCAATAAGAGAAAGAACGCCTGTGTATGCGTGTTTGTGTGCGCGCGTGTGTGTGTCTGAGAGTGTGTGCGTATGCATACAAACAAAACGACGCTGTACCAGCGAAATTTTATTTTGCGTGCGCATCTAAGGCCGCCATTTTTTTTATTAGTTTGTATAAATACATATGTACAAACATATATTTATGCCAGAAGCCTACATATGTATGTATTCCTTTGAGCATAATCCTAATTGCATTTGGCTAAAATGCCTAAAATACACACGCCACAAAAATACGCGATGAACGCACGTTGTGCAGATGTTTGCAAACTTGAATATGCACACAAAATCACAGCTTGCGTAATCTGAAATTGGCTATATTTCCCCATGTGTAAATACATATATAAATATGTATACATACATACATAAATGTATGTACATAAATACGTGCGAATACTTGGCTCTGAAAATACTTATGTATGTATGCTTTTGCAAGACGCCAGTGTGTGCGCAATACGAACATCCAGATGTACGTGCATATGTTTGTATTTACAGGGTGTTTCAACTTTTATGTGCATATCAAAACATAAAATATTTTATATATTTGTGAACGGATTTATTGGATTGAACTAGTTTCAAAACATGTTCATTTTTTAACCATTTGCTAAAAGAAAAACACATGGCACACCCTGTAAAAATACCGTCTTCATATTGGTAGTACATTTTTGTAGCAAAGCTGTTGTCGTCCCAATCAGAATGAAATTTCAAAAACTTTCGAGTATTTGCAAAATACAAAATAATCGGAAGGAAATTTCAATTATTATTTTCGAATAATGTAAAGTAAGGAGGCAAAACCAAAGAGAAATCGAAAGATTCAATCTCTAGCGTGCCCACTCTCACGGGCACACTCACGATACAACGTTGCTGCCCTGGTTTCGGTTTTGGTTCCGCGCTCCAGTCCCTGGAACGGAATCAAAATAAAAACGGTTGATAATCCGATTTCCAAGACACGCGGAACCAGTGCCAGTGCCAGTTCCATTTCCATTCATACATATTCCACCTCCATTCCCATGACCTATTCCAGAGTCTCTGCGTAGTTGGCTTTTATCTCGGCGCTAACAGCTGGCGCTCTGATGCTTAGATTGTAAACAAAAAAAAAGAGAGAAAAAAACGCGCTTTTGTTTTGATTTGTGATGCTTATGGCTTGTTTTTGTTGTGGGCGGGCGGCAGTTCCCTCTCACCAAACACAAGTTCATTGGCAAGGCGTAGATGCTTTCCATCTCTGGAATATGTACATACATATGTACATCGGCAAGGCATGAAGTATCGGACATGATTTTTATTTTCATTTTACAGAGGTATTTGAAATGCAATGATGTATGTAGGTTTTTGATTTCTAAAATCAATAAATTCATAAAATACATAAATTAATTTAACTTGCAGTTCGTTATTATTTTTTATTTTTTTAAGTCAAAGGAACTTATAGTAGCTTTATTTTGGAAGCAAAAAAGTTTTATATATATTAGATTTTAAGATTTTAAATAGATTTTGATTTAGTGCTTAAATTCTACTTTAATTGGGGCTCTTTGATTTTATAAACAAATAAATTGAAATCTAAATTAAAGCCATTTAATCTAAACAATAAAAACTACTTAGTTTTTCTATTTGTTTTTATTTTTTTTTATGAAAATATTTATGTTATGCATTTTAGAAGAATAAAACAAGGGAAACAGCTTTAATGAAAGAAAATGTAGGTTTTTTTATATTATACATTATATTTTTTAAAAGGTTTTGTATAATTTTTTGTTTTTTTTTCTCTTAAAATATAATAGCTTCTAATTTGTATGGGTATTAAGGAACATGTAACTAAGACTTAATGAAATGACCTTTGACTTTTGAAAAAGGGTGGTAAAACTGGGAAAGAGCAGTGCAGCAGTAGATCCTGCTCGCTTTAAATCAGGCTTTCTTTAGGTTTTAGTTTCTTGCAATTCATATATTCTTTAGAAATATATGTGATATATAATAATCCAGAGAAAAACCCACTTTAAATTCCATAAATTATTTGCATAAATCTTTATAGAGTTGATCAGAAGGTTTTAGTATTTTTGGATTCCCTGACTTCTATTAAGCTTATAATTTCGGAATAAAGTTTTACAATGAAAAGGTGCGCACTCTCTATTCTATGATCTGCTCTGTGTGGCTTTTTTGAGGCGTATTGTCAGATTCATCCATCATCATGCTAATAAACCAAACCAAACCATATTGTGGTTAGTGAGTGCAATGTGAATCGATCAGAGACGATTGACATTGCACTCGTAACCACATATAATCGGAAACATTACCAACAAACTATTGATCAGCAAACCATTCAACACTATCAGCAGCAACTGGCTGCGCAGCAACAGCAACAAGTACAACAGCAACAGTTGCAACAGCACCAGGTGGTGGTGCAGCAGAATCAGCAGCAGGCGCATCAAAACAGCTCCAATACCACAGCCGGCGTGGGCACCCAACAGCTGTTCACATACAAAATGGCCAGCAGTTTTCCTAATCCGGCCACAACGATGGCCCAAGTGGTGGCCACATCGAACGCTGCCGGCACCACGGGCTACGATTACCGTCTCAATATGGCCCAAGCGGCCGCAGCTGCCGCCGTTCCCGGCTCCCAATGGTGGTATTCGGCTGCCAATCAGGGTCAGGTTGATGCCAACACAGCGGCGCAACTGCAGCAGCAACAGCAGCAGCAGCAACAGCAACAGCAGCAGCAACAGCACCAGCAGCAACAACAGATCCAACAGCAGCAGCAGCAACAGAATGTCATCAACTCGGCCGGTGTAAGTGTCTAAAAATTGCATTGTATTTTTTATAATTGAAGTAATGTCTCCTCTTCCATTCGCTCCCGCAGAGTCCAATGATCAGGGGCAAGGCAGATGCCAAACCCAGAGGCCGAATGACCGCCTACGCATACTTTGTACAAACTTGCAGAGAGGAGCACAAAAAGAAGCATCCCGATGAGACTGTGATATTCGCAGAGTTCTCACGAAAGTGCGCCGAGCGGTGGAAGGTAAGTCTTGGTCTTAGCTCTCTCCATAAGCCCATATTGATAACAATCCTTTGCAGACAATGGTGGACAAGGAGAAGAAGCGATTCCATGAGATGGCCGAGAAGGATAAGCAGCGTTATGAGGCGGAAATGCAGAACTATGTGCCGCCCAAGGGTGCGGTTGTGGGGCGTGGCAAGAAGAGGAAACAGATCAAGGACCCCAATGCTCCGAAACGTTCATTGTGAGTTCGTAGAAAAGTCAATTAACAAATTAAACAAACAAATTAATATCACATTCAACTAATGAAATATGCAAACAATGCTAAATGAGACGCTTCCGTTTTATAGGTCTGCGTTCTTCTGGTTCTGCAATGACGAGAGAAATAAGGTGAAGGCCCTCAATCCCGAGTTCGGAGTCGGCGATATTGCCAAGGAGCTGGGACGAAAGTGGTCCGACGTGGATCCGGAGGTCAAGCAAAAGTACGAGTCGATGGCCGAGCGGGACAAGGCTCGATATGAACGGGTAAGTTGGGCTTAAGCTTATACTGCTTTTCTTTTTTGCTCAACAAAGGTGCTCAATGTGATTGCAGGAGATGACTGAGTACAAGACAAGCGGGAAAATAGCCATGTCCGCACCGTCAATGCAGGCGTCGATGCAGGCGCAGGCACAGAAAGCCGCGTTACTTGCCGCCGCTGCCCAGCAGCAGCATCAGCAGCTGGATGAGCAGCATGACGACGATGATGGTGATGGCGATGATGACGAGAACCAATAGGTTTAGCAGTAAATAATACTCTTCAACTATTTATACACACCACACACACACCCACACCCACACACAGAGAAAGACACAAAACAATGTGTCGTTGTTGGTCATCACAAACGAGGCGAAAGTGAACATGATGATATCGTTGGTTGATCTATTATCAGGTTGGCCAATGTGTGTTTTGAATATATATATGTATTAAGGGTGTTCTCTCTTTTTTTTTATGTTGTTCTTTCAAGTTTCCACGTTTTAATAACGATTCGATGGTCACATGTAAGATTTTTATAATTTTAGTTTTGCATAAGTGGAAAAACAGTGCTCTCTTTGGTTAGTTTTTATATGCGCATGAAATTTTTTTTTATATTTTTTTATTTTGATGAAGATGCAACTTGGTGCCTCGGTGTAATCTTGTGGAATCTCTTAAACCCAACTACCGCACGATCGTAAACTGGACAAACATTCCCAAAAATGAACCTTGACTTTTGAGTATATATATTTTTTTGTTTCTCTTTTGTGAGCATTGAAATCGTTATCGGAATGTGGAAGCTCGATAACAAAAAAGGTACCCTTTATGTATATATATGTATGCATATATATAAATAATATATAGTTTTTTTTTTTAACAATAAGTAATCAAATTTCCATGAATTATGAAAGAAAGAAAGAGAAATCACAAAGAAAAACTTTTATAAGTTCTATGTTAAGAATAAATACGATTAAGTATGGTTAGATTAAAAAAAAAACAACAAGAAAACGTACATTAATCTTTCTGCAAAACCTTATTTCTGTGCTTCAGTGCTGAGTTTCTCCTAACAAAAAAAAACAAACATGAAAAAAATACTATGAGAATTATTTTAAAATGCATCATCATCGATGTCATTCATTGTCTCAGCAACAAAAAAAAAAAAAGTATGAAAGGTTACCACTACCCACATTTATAAATATTGGTACATATTTCCCATTTATTAAAGTTAGATTCTCCATATTTGAAACCTACAATTAATGCGTTGTTCTCACTCATTTTGAGTTTTCGATCACCAGTGTGGCTAAGAACATTTAAAGAGAAAGATGCCTAACGTAAACAGGCAGCCAGATCTAGAGTGCTAATGTGCATTGTCTCTCTTTTCCCCTCTAGAAAGAGCATGGCGTTACGCATCTTATTCTTTATATTTTCTTTGTACCTAACCAAAAAAAAAAAGCAGAAAAAGAAACGAAAAACTCTCAATGAGACGTGATAATTTTAAATACTTCACTCAGTGGCGGGGTGATATCTTCTCTAACCATTTTTGAACATTTATTTTTTGCATCTTCAAAGTAAGAAAGACTAAAATTAAATTGAATACCTATAAAATCCTTGATTTTCCGGAGTTCATTTAGCTATTAGAATTTGGTTTATTGTTTATTTGTACATATATATAGACATCAATTCTAAAATAGCCGCGAGAGATCAAAATCAGTTAAGATAACCTCGGGGGTGTATAATGGATAAAAGCATAATGGAAAATGGATAAAGGAATAAAAATGGATAAGGTTGTTGGTCAACGCATAACGATATATAGGACATTGACTTGGCCATGTACATACATACAATCTGAAGTATTATTTAGACGAGACTATGTAGGAATTAATAAGAAGCAGAAGCGTAAGCTTAATTTATAGGAATGCCTAATAAATACCTTATGCTGGGACTTGAAGATAGCAGCGCATGAATGACGTAGAGAGTAGAGGAACGTATTCTCAACATAATAACATATAGGTGATAACACTTAGTTTCACAGATACAAAATACTGAATACTGAAATGTACTGGAGAAGGAGCTTTGACAATTGCTGATCAGCGATTGCCAGACCATCTTCTGCAAGTTTAAAATCTAAGTAATAGTAGGCTCAGAGGGGGGTCTGCTCCAACGCATTGTTGGTGTCTATATAGAGTTGGTATTTCGTTTAGTTTCGGCCCTCCACACTCGATGAATGTATGTATATATATTGTTAGCATGATTTTTGCTAGAGAGAATAACTCGCCACCGAGATTATATATTTTATTAAAGCGTCCATCCCCCTTTTCATTTCTTTTTTCAACCAATTAAAGAGAAAAATAAATCCATATTCCCCCATGTGCGCTTCTTATAAGTAAAACTAAACTAAAGTAAACCATACGAAATAAACTTTTAGAAATGAGATTCTTTGTAGATGGAACTATGATGATGTGTTCTCCAAATCCATTTGTCTTTATTATTTTTTAATGTAATACCCGGTATATACGGTATACGATTACGACGAGCTTTTATGTTACATTCTATTCTCTCCAAAACCGCTTTATCTATTCTATATAAATATATATATTTGATAGAAAAAAGAAACACTCGGAAAAAGTAATGAAATGATAAGAAAGGAGGAAGTATCCCAGCCGAGTTCCTGAACTTAAATGTGTGAATTACGTTAGCAATACTATAGTAGCCACTAAGAATTTGTTTTTTTTTTCCTAAGAATTTACACAATACTGTAAAAATAGTTGGAAATAAATTTAATTTAGCTAGATGTACGCTTATAAAGGCAAAATCTGAGAAAATTCGTTACCGAGTTGTTTTGCGTCTTTGTAATACAAATTGTGCCAAAAAAACAAAAAAGAAAACTGGCTCCACGGGAAACCTAAAACATTTTAGACAATCGTGTGATGTTGTTGACACTCGACACAATTCAAGAAGACACTTGGCTAGATTTTCCGTCCGTGCAAATTGTGCACCTAAAATGGTGTTTCCCCCCCTCGGATCAAGTAGTTTCCCTTCCGTAGAAGTCCTCATTCATTCATTCATTCATCACTATATATTGCTAAAGGGTCAAATTAGTAGAAGGTTATTAAAAAATAACCACCTGCACTTGGCCTATTTATTTTGTAGACTTGTAGTAGACGACACTTTCCAAATACAATACCAACAATTACCAGAAATTTGTTTGATTCCGTTTCGAGATTTAGAGCATGGTTGGGCAGCGAATGTAAAGGTCGAAGCCCTGTAACCAAAATTGACACCAAGAACAACAAGTTCTATCGAAAAGAAACCAGAAATTTGTCCGTTTTTCGATCGGAAATGGTTTTTCTTATTTTTAAATTCAAATAAAAAGGAAAAGGTAAGTAAATAAACAAATTTTTGTTTTGGTATTGAAAAAAAGATCTGCGGCTCCAGTCTTGAAAAATATTTGGGGTTCCAGTACCTCCTTGGGGTACAGTGGCACCTGCGCTTCCCAAGTCTCCCTAATTTAATTAGGGAAATTCTTAATTTCTTCTATTTATAATAAAGTCTATCTCTTTTACTTTTCAGACCAGTTGTTTAACAATATGTTTTATTGCCAAATTGTGCAAATTGAACAAAATGTGCAAATATCCAGTGGAAATGGTATATAAGCGCAGTGGGATCGAAGGGTTTTTAAAAATATTCATGTTTCTCGATTGTTTTGTATTCGATTTATTTCGGTTCTACCTATCGATGTCTTATCGTTCTCAACTAGCACCACTAACTACTGAAGTAAGAGATGTTTCTGAAAAAATAAATAAAACAAAAAGCAACGCAAATCAATCTATTGCTTTCAATTTTCTTCATAAATATAAAATCAAAATATAAAGAATAAATTATAAGTTCTGATCTTTAAATGTTCAGATTGATTTATTTACTTATGATTTTTTGTTTGAAGAATTTTACCCGCCAAATCAAAATAATGCTCCCTAACACTATTTTGAACCTATTGTAAACTTAAATGTTATGCACCTATTAGTTTAAAGTTACCACAATAAGGTAGCAAAACACTAATCAAATAACAAAAACTACATTTTATTCATTAAAAAAAGGGAATATCTCAGCAAACGTTCGTATAAACACCTCCAGTAAGGTTTTTTAAATGTATTATTTTTTAATTGTATTATATGTATTTATTTACATTTATTCTAGTTTTTTTTTCGACAATTTAAAACTAATATTTTACTAACGCTTCATCGTGCAGTGAAGCAGATTCGCAGTACCGTTAGGTGCGCAGCAGTTGCAAGCAATTCGGACCGCTACGGCAACAGCCGTTCCCACACACAGGCACAGCTCCCGAGCGGATGGTGCGACGGCAGAGGAACGGGGGGCCGCGGTAGCCCCGCTGGTAGCAGAGGCGCTCGCACACCGACCCGCCCACCGTGACATGAGTAAGGGTCATCCTGCAATGGCCGCCGCCCAGGATCTGTGTGTAAGCTGGCAGCGATACCAGCAGAATAACTGTAGCGAGGAGCAGGGGGTAACGGTAAACGACGACCATCTTTTTGTACGCTCTTTCGCGGTTTCTCTCTGGCTCTGTTGCTGATGCTGCTGGGGATGCGTTTTATAGTTGTGTACACGGGCAACAGCAGCAATAACAACAAAAGCGACAACAGAAGCTTGGATTCAATAATGGTGGGCAACAACAGTTACATTACCAAAAGGCGGTAGCAGTTGTTGCTGTGGCTCTGCAACAAAGGGCCGCGCATCTGTTCTGTTTTATTGTTGTCGTTGTGTGTGTGTGATTTCAATTTGCAAATGCCAGCGAAACCCAAGGGGAAGGGAAAAGACAAAAACAAAAAAAAAATAAAGAAACAATCAATTATAAGCGAATGATAAAACAAAAAGCGCAAATTGAACTGGGCGCAAAATAATAAAAAACAAAAGCGAAGCCAGGCCAGATCAAGAGAGAAGAAGAAGAAGAGAAGAAGGAGAAGAATAATGACCGCAAGACCGCGACCACCTGACGCAATTGTGTGTGTGCATGTGTGTGTACGCGTTTGTGGGTGTTGTTGTGGGAGGAGGAGGGTCGCCTGGGCTTGTATGGTGGTATGATGCGGTGCTTGTAAACTTGTGTCCAGGACACAAAGCATTCGTAGCAAAAAGAAAGAACAAAAAAGGAGACGCGGCGAGGAGGGCAAAAAAAAAATGAGACGGAAATGGAGACCGAGCCTGCGTGTTGAAATCAAAGATAACGACTCATCAACGGCGTCATAAAAACGTGACATCAATTTTATTGCCGGCGAGAAAAGCCAGAAAGATGAGCCAGCGGCGACGTCATCGTTCACGCGTCGCGCCGCAGAAGGTCACGCAAAAGGCAAAACGGACAAGGGATAAAGCTGTATGTAACTCGAGTGTTTCGACAGCCGAATACCTGACCCTTGCATACTTTCCGGCGTCGCTGACAAAATAATCAAAGGACTTGTTAAATGTGATTCAAAAAATGAAACTCAAATTTCATTTATTATTATCTATCTATAATTTGGGTCAGCCCTCGAAAGTATTCAAAAATAAAGTGTGTGAGGAAGATCGTCGTGAAAGCAAATTGCAAGGGAGTAACGGGACTTGCGACAGGTTCTATATTGACTAAAAAGTAAAAGCAAGTAATTAATTTCCTTTTTCGTAAGCGAATGTAGGCTGAAATGGAATGGTTGATGTATTTTGTGTTCACCTCTGATCGTACATGTACATACATTTATACATAGCTCCCTTTTTTGCACACAGCAATAACTTATCATGACTTTCGTTTACTTTCGCCAATTATCCTTCTTCCTCTCTGCCACTATCTCTATCTCCTTTTATTTGCGGTCGTTGCGAACGTCTGTGGACGGAATATGTAGCTGTATTTTTTTTTGTTGTCAACCTACCGCACCGTTAGCGACAAATATTTTTACAATAAAATTCCTATTGATGTTTATTCATGCTGCTTCTGTACTATCTCCACCTCTGCTTTGCGTTTTCCCCGCCTCCCATACTTTTGGCAACGATTTTCGAGGCAGTCAAAGAGGCGCCACCAGCAAACACACACACACACACACAAACAGAAAGAAAGAAATAAACGAGTCACTGAGAGCGATTACTCTCTCTCTCACCGGCGACAAAGTTGTCGGATTCGCATCCATTGGGCTGGAATTATTATTGAATGAACTTGTGCCATTTCCGCAGTCCATTTCGCAATAATCAATTATTGAAGCGCCGCCAATAAAAGAACAAGACAGCGCCCAAGCCTGAGCAGTCGACCCGCTGCCCATTTGCCTGATTAATTATTGACAGCTCCCCTGGTGCGTATTAAAATTCATTTGATGTGTTTCTTGTCGCCTGGCCAGCTACGTGAGGTCGCGGGAGCGGGGGATGGGGACGACGACGACGACGACGACTGTTGACATCGCATATTTCAGACATTCGGACAAGTTTTGGCTGCAGCATAAATAAATAAACGAATCGAATCGAAGCTGCCGCTCAGGGATCCGATCGCTTATCCGGCGCCATCGTCATCGGCATCGCAATCGGAATCGCCTTTGTTATCGCCCAGAGTGCCCGAGTTCATCTCTCCCTCCACCTCTTGCGCCACTCCTCCTTTCATGGCGCCTACGCAGCACAGTTGATTAATCGTCGCTCGAATCACGTACAACGACAAAAGTCGCAGGTGAAAATACCAAAGTGCCCGCGGAGTGGGGGGGGGGCTACAATAAGCCTCGCTTTGGTCCTGCCGCCTCATCACAGTGCTGCGAACTTGGCATTTTATTCGCTACTTCACTTTATTGAAGGACAAGACAGTAAAATTTGTGCTAGTCTTTAACAACACTGTTTTAGTTATTTCTGTTTGGATAAATTATAAGACAGCAGACAATCAATTTTCTTTAGAAGTTTATCTGGTTACCGCCTCGTAATCCTATTAGTTTAAGTTAGTTGACCTTTGTTTATCGTAATAAACCAAGCGTGCTATAAAATTACTATGATCTTACATGTTAACTTTGGCTTTGTTTTCTGTCTTACTTTTTATTTGGAAATTCTGGCAGCACTCATTTGTCTTGATGCCGCGTCGCTCCCACTCTCCCACTCTCCCGCTCGCACGCTCGCTGGCTTCGCATTAACATAAATAAATCACTTGCCGCCATCAATCAGTCTGTTTGCATTTGCGCAGGCAGCCGCAACACTTCACCCCCTCACCACCCACCATTTCTCTTGCGCATTGCTTTGTTGTCGTCGCCGCTTTTTGCTTTATGCTTACGCGCATTTTTCTTTGATTTATTGATGTCTCGACTATTAAGCAATTAAGCAATCTAGCTCTTTCACCCCCGCCCCCCCAACTTTGTGCTGCTCCTGTAACTGTTGCCCTCAAGAATCCTACTATCCCGGACTTTCTTTCTATTTCTTTCTCTTTCCTTTTTTTCTAGGGTCCGCGTTAAAGCTTATTCATTCCCTATGTAAATAAGTAATTATGCAATACAAATGATGCCTGCGGGAAGGCCACGCCCCCAGCATCACCTCACATCTCTGGCACGCCCACATGTGCTTATTTGGGTGGCAAATAAATTTGTTTGTCCACATGCGCAGGCAGATTTATGAGACAGCCATCCCTCTCCCACACTCTCCCATTCTCCAAACGTTGCATACTTTTACGAACTCTATACACACACACACACACAGCACTGCACGCACACGCGTGTGCATATAGAAAGGCTGCGAAATGAGCTAAATAATTAGCAAAGTGAGAGTGAGAGAAGGAGAGACCAAATAGTAATCTCGCACACAAAATGAGCAAATATATAATGAAATAAATAATAATAAAAGGACCAGCAGGTCAGCAGCCACCAAGAAAGGGGCCTGGGGCAAAGAGAGACGACACACACGTGTGTGTCCTGGGCAACTTTTGCAAAACTTTTCGCTTATATTTTTTTTGCTAAATTTTTAATACAAAATGCGAAAGGGCAGAAGCATGCATAAATGCGGCTTAGTATGTATGTATGTATGTATGTGTATTCATAAGGTTACAGCACACACACACACACACGCTGTTGAACGTATTCCCGTTAGGGAAACATTTTCTTTTAGCAGAAAAAAAAGAGAAGCAAATAAAAAATAGAAAGAACGCAACCGAAAACCAATGAAAAAAATTATCTGCAAGTTCTGCAGCAGCGGCATATGTCTTTGAGAATATAAAATATCAAAACAGACGGACAAAAACAAAAACCGAGGGGAGCGAAAAAAATGGCGAACAAAGTTGCAAGTCAGAGGAGCTCACAAAGTGTAAGAGAACAGTTTTGGCTAAAAGTATGCACATTGTTTATGGTACACCTATACCGAAAAGTAAGTGTACAGTGAATAATAATAAAAACATAACAAATTTTAAAGTAAATATGCATGCTTAGTGTAGTACAGTTAAATATTATTTGTTTTTTGAGCCAAATGTTAAGTATTTACTGCGGCGATCTCTATTTATTTTCTTTCTTTTGTTTTTTAAAGGAAATATCTGTTTTAAACTTAAATTTTCTTTTAATTTTGTTACTAATTTCGGTTATTTAATTGATTTAATTAAATTTAAATTTAACCTACAATATTTAAAAGTCCCAAACATGTTCTCATTCTCCCTATTTCTCATTAAATAATAAATTAAACGAATTACAATAGCTTTAAAATGGCAAACAGAGAAAAAAAAAGGGGTAATAAAGAGGTCTTTGTGGCAATAAAGAATATGATCAAAGTAATTTTTGGTAGCCATAAAAAAGGCGGGGCTAAGAATTAGAAATCAATGTTTATTGTATTGGCAATTATAGTAAGAAGATGTTCTTGTTTATTTCCCCCCAGTTTACCACCCAGAGAGCGCTGACTTTTGCCTCAGACTGTGCGGTGCGGAGCAGTTTGGCATTTTACTTTGCCGCTGAACTTGCCCTGAAATTTTCCTTTACAGTTTACAGTTTCGGCGAATGTTTCCAAAATAGACAACGACCCCCCCTCAAACAATCAACAAAAAAATAAGTAGGAGAAATGTTTACTGCTGGCGAAACAAAGCCAAAAATTGCCTTAAAGCTGGAAATGCCCCACCTTCCGAGTGAAACACACAAAGAGAAGTCACTCGGCCAAAACGTGCTACCAAAAATACAAAAAAACACACATAAAGAAGGCAAAAGAAAGAAACTATTTTCAAACTCTCACACAACTTGGTCAGCCAACAATAACAGGGCAGCTGGGGGTCGATGGCAATGAGGCTGCCAAAAAGTGTTCGCAAAGTGCGAGCCAGGCAAAAGTCAAGGGCAGCCAAGGAAATCGAGTTGAAACCAAAGCGAACCCAAGCAGACCAGACCAACCCAAAAAAACCTAAAACTAAACCAAACTGGACCCAAGAAAAACCCGAAAAAACCAATCAATAATTGTTGGTGACTCAAAAAAACCAACAACAACTACAACAACAACACCAACAAAAAAACCCCCGAAAAGGAAATGGAGCAGCAAAAGTGCAGGCCGCGCCACGGACAAGGACGCGAATACGGTTTGCAGACC